TATTTGACTAATTGAACAGCCAGCTTTGACCCTTACGACATATGGACCATTCAAAAGACCATCCCCCATTCATGCCTTCTTCTTCCATTTTGATTTTCTCCAAATCCACTACAGTGATTCGGTTGGACAGGCCGTGAGTGCCGTGCATGGATCTTGTTAGCAGATTTTGTTTTGCGATTTCGAGGGCAGACTGTCAATCATTAAGGCCAACCAAACTCAGGAAGGAAATGGCCCCTCCCCAATTAGAGGTGCGCGGATGGGCTACTTTTTCGTCCGTAACCGCATCGCAAAACTCATCATCCGCCCGCTGTCCATTTGCAACCACAGTTTTTGACCAGTTTTCAAAACCGCACCCGCCCGCCATCCGCTCGGTCTCCTCCCAATTGCTCCGAGTTCAGAGTTTTTTTATTTGAGTAGTGAAACCGCCACCCGCCCGAATTTAATTAAAATATTATTTTTCGTCACGTCATCCGCCCGACCCGCGGTTTAGCCGCGGAGTCCGCGGCTGTAATCGCTATCCGCGCATCTCTATCGCCAATGCGACTCACCTATCATTCAATAACCAAATGGACTTGGCCATAATGCCCCCCCTCCCCTTGGCAGCTCCCTCTTCACCACACCCATGACCTTCATCTGCCATATGCCGACTGCTGATGTTTGATGGTCAATAGGTTGCATTGATCTGATGGGGAACAGGGGAAGTGTCCATCCATACGACGGTACAACAGCATAAAACTGTGAGTGAATTACTAATTCAGCTTATAGTAATTGCATGGTTAAAGCAATATAGTATTAGAATAAAAATATAAAATATAAAGTAACAAAAGATTCATTCCTATGTAGGCCTCTCACGACTACAAATTGTAAAGTGCAATTTACTAGTGCTGAGGGAAATATAGACGATAAACCATAAAGTATAATTATGAAAAATGATTGTAAATGTACAAAACCAGGAGCTGCAGTAAAACCAGTACAAAGAAAATGTACCCACGATAAACATTATTACACAATCCTATAATCTTTTCTGTATCGATAGTTTATGCATCATGAAAACTACATTGTTCAAGCCACATGCATGTCACTGAACAACTTGACAAAAGCTTTGACTTAGAAAACTAGAAGATATGAAATTAACTCATGACTAGCCACTCCCAGTTCGTAACACAATCCAAAACCATTACTCTCAAACAATCAAAGTAGTTATACGTAGAAGTTTGTCCAAACTTGAACATATATTATCTGATGTAATGTAAGAAAAATGAAGTTATGAAAAAACATTTACATTTTCCCTAAATTAAAATGACAAATTATTATTATTAGCTATAGCCTATTTACAAAGTACAAAAATCAATATAACTTTGTAAAAATATTTTTTTCAAAGGAATTCTGAAATATTTAGACAGTGATGACAGGTGAAATGAGACTTAAAAACATGTCACAATAGCAAAAACATCCTACGCCCCCTGAGAAGATTTGTGAGGATTACTCTGCTGCTCAGTGCACCTCCCTGGGGTAAACTTATACACCCTGATCTTTCACCAAAGACCCCCTTTTCCATATGAGCCCGAGTTGCCCTTTGACCCCTGGCCTTGCATAGCGGCCCACAAAAGAGTAGAAGTCATATCACACTTCTTTAAGATAAGTATCTGGCCTCAGCTCCAGGGGTCCATGTTTTAGCCTCAGAAAGAATCAAAAAGATTTCAGCTCCTCCTAATATGTTCCAAAATAAACCACTAATCCTGGTTTGGTGGTGTAGGAGAAGCTTTTCACATGACATGTTAGCCTTATCCAAGAGCAGGGTGGTAAGGACCTCGGGGGACCTTTCAAAAGACAAATATAACCAAATTAAACTAGATACAGGAAAGCAAAGACCTTCTTTTCTATCTTAATATTGCTTATAATATATTATGAAGTAGACTTATTGTTAAAATAATACATAAACAAGTTTCCTTCCTTAGTGAATGATAGAAAAGGTTTGAAGGCAGTCATCTGGACATGGACATGTTTTTGTTTTTGTTTTTTTTTAACTATGAACCTCTCCTGGTTGAATGAGGGATTGATTACACTTGACAATTTATTTATGTGAAATGTTCCCAAAAATATTTATGACAATATATATCCATACAGCAGCCTGTGATATCAATACTGTATTACCAAATTCAGTACCATGATGTTTCTATTTTATTTTATTTTTTTCATTTTCAATTTTATCACACCTCAAATTATAATCTCTAAGAATTATTTTTATTTGTATTATTTTAGCTATAAATAACATTATCTATTGTACAAACTATGAGATGGTCAGCCTAAAATGTAATCAGACCATTATTACATTAATTTGTGGGAGAAATAGCATCTTTGGCCCTCATAAATATAGTCATAATATCCGATAATGATCTTGAGCTATACACTAAAAAAAGTTATAATTTCACATAAGTTGGTTCAATCAACAAGGATATCCAAATGTCTCTATATGATATTTTCATGATATTTTATGGCAGCTAACCAAATTGTGAATATGCAATTTTTTTAATACCTTGACAAGCCTTTGGTTCTGTCATAATCTAAAGAATTTAGATTTAAAAGTGATTATAACAGTTATTTATTTAGTGTTTAGCTACTCCTGCACCATAACAATGAATTTAAGCAAAGAGACTTATAATTCGATATATTGTGATGGCCCATGGTATTATTGTGACACTTTTAACAATACAATATTTCCATTATTGTTACATCTCTAATCAGCACTAATGTTAACTGCCAACACCAGCTAACCAAAAAACTGCAAACACATAACTTACAAGTCTGTACAGATAAACTTACAGTGCAGTCAAGGTAATGTTCTTGTCCTTCTAAGCTCTGACTCAAGTATTTCTAATTTCTCGTGTTTGGACTTGTCTTGTTCTGAGGCACTGGCCTTGCTCCTGCTCCCCCTCCCTCCCAACACACCTCGCTGTTTTTGGGGGCTGAATTTCCTTGAGTTAGCCTTCGGGCTGGCCTGCTTTGGCTGGCTCCAGTGCGCTAATGGTTATGGGCGTCTGGTAGCGTGGCTGATTTGTAGACACTGATAACACTTGTTGCATTAGAAATCAAGAGCCTCATGATTGGGTTAGAGGGAGGAATAACGTACAAAGATGAAGACCATAATGCAAAGCGCTGTGGGGCAGAGTGGCAGGAAAATGGTGGAGGTTTTTGACTTCTGGTTCTCCCTATCTCGATCTGAAGATGAATCATCGGTGAGATAACCCCTTTTAAGGCCAAGACTCAATTCAAGCTAAATAAGATCCTGAATGAGTGACACTGCTGCTGCTACAGAGCGAATGGGCAGAACAAAATCATATAGTGTCCAGTGTTCTTGTCAGATTTTTGATGCTTTAAATGTAAAATCTTATAACTAAAGTGAAAATAACTATTCTAAAATGTTGTGATTTATTCCTGATAATATAGAATCATGAATAATTAATTTTATACTGTACTTTTCCTGGGTCATTTCACTGTAGATGTATGAAAGCACGCCAGTCTGACCGAACAAACAATCATTCGCATACTAAATTCACACAAAAACAAGGGGGCTGAAATATGCAAGTACAAACAAAACTCTGTGCTGGAATCGAACCTCAGAGATAGTGATCAAATGGTCTAACCACCAAGAAATAAAGGTTAAAAAGTCAATAATCATAGTAATGATAAAACATGGACAAAAATAAAGATCTAGCTCCTACAGTATTTACAGTTTCTGATGTATTCTCTGCTGATTTTGTGGTTGAAAAAGTTTAATCCAGTCTTCTTTCCATGATTTGAAATTTTATGTTATGTTTTAATATGAGTACTGGGACAAGGTTCAAATAAGGCTACACTGCATTAAGATTCAAACCCTATTCCGCTGACGGACAGACTCCTTTAAGTAACCCCATGGGCTGCTCTATAAGCCCACACAGACCAAGTGCATCATGGGAGCTGCACAAAAGACCCCCTTTAAGTCCAGCCTTCCATTCTGAGATAACAACATCCTCCAAAACTGCTGCTCTGACCAACTCCATTGCTTATCAAGGCCTCTTTTCTTGTCTCCTCACAAAAAGCGTTGATTTAATCTGTGAGCCATTGGGTCACAGTGACTGCAGTCGAGAGGAATTTGTGATTTGGGGGTTTGATACCCACAGGGAGCCCAAATATAAAGGAAACACAGAAGAATGGCCTTCTCCTAAACCCTTCCCATAGAAAGAATACGGTCTCCGGATGAGCTGGATGGGATAAGTCCATTGTAACATGCTGATTTTTGACATTTAAGTCCAACAATGTGTATAGTGTCAAATTCAGATGGGGCGATATGCTCTGGACAATGCAGATGCCCAGTGTTGTCAATACAGTGAAACATATAACTGATCCACAACGTGACCCTGACAGAGTATTTCATAATTCATGTTAGCAAGTATAGTTTGTTAAAAGCCTGCCACGGTTTTTATAGGGTCATACAGCGCTAAAACATGAATCTATAAACAACTGAATGATCTGTTCCATTGAAGGAATTTCCCCTTTCAATAGCGAGAATGGCCATGTGAATCCCAACTGCACACTGAGGTTATAAATTCAGCACTTGGAACAAACAGTCGACTATTAATGTAGTAGATGAACAGATTAACATAAAATGAATGGAGCGCCTTGCCTTTTCTGTTTGATTCAATGAATGAAAACATTGTTAATGTACTGACTTGGTAGACAGAGAAAAGTATTAGACAGTAACTTCCACTAAAAGATGTTTTGGTTTGGGTTATTGTTTTAACTTATGTTATGGTCATAATGTAAGGAACATTTTGTCACACAAAAGCATCAAGCATCAAACTACATCTTGCCTAAAGAGGCCTTAAGATATTTGGGTTGCTTGTGAATAATTGCCACATGAGGTGCATACATGACCTTCCACTGAAACAGGGAGCTATTTTATTACATAAATAGAACTACTACACTGCTGTATACATAACAAACACTTAGACAGTTCTTACCCAAACAGACGGCGTCACTGACGGGGGTACACTCCTGAATTTCCTCGCTGTCCTCACAGGTGGTGCAGGGCATACAGGGCTCTCGGAAGCTCTCCTTGTCTGAGTATGTGTCCATGGTGCACTCCTCACACACAGTGTCACGGTCCTGCTCACAGCTGATTAACATGCCCTGGCCCTCAGGACACAAGGTGCAGGGCTCGCAGCGCTTTGTCAGGCTGTTCAGGTAGTAACCATAGTTACAGACGCAGATGGCATCATTTGCGTCAATGCACGGCGATTCCATCCTCATCAGACCTGTGCACTGGGTACAGCGCTGACACTTCTCTGTGTGACTGAAGTTCTCTGAGAAGGTTTCACCTTAAAAACAGAAAAACAGAGAGGGAAATAAACATATTTTTCATTATCATAATGGCTCTTTTCTTAAGTTTTGATTCAAAATGTAACACTAAGTATAGGACATAATTTGTCTTTCTAATCTTAGTATAGCATTGACTGAGGCAGGTCAAACTTAGATCAAACTTGCCTGAAATGAAACAGTAGTCTAAATCTTACACCGTGTCTTTCAAAGCAGCTTGTGTACCTAAAAGACATCCTAGGACAAATATATCCACAGCAATGAACACAATCAATACTCTATGTTTTATGGAATTGTATTTCGACTGGATAGAGAACTGGGAAACACACTAAATTATGCAACAAATCCATTTGTACCAGCCACTTCTGCTGCATGTGTGTGCGTCACGGAGGTGCAGAACATGCTGTCAGCATGGCAATGTTATCTACACACTCATCTATTCATGTCTAGACTTTTATAGGGTTAAAAAAAGCAAAAACACATCTAAACTAGGTGGGAATTTGGTTATTTGTTTTTCCATGACAAACATCCACAATAATGGGAGCCCAGTCTATTTGTGCTTATAATTGTGAACACAAAATAAAAGTAAACCAAACTGTGTGTGTGGTATAGCAAACAACTCATCCCCCAACTTTCTGAGGTTCAGTGACGTGTAATGTATCAAATTTTGGGTAAGTGGCCTAGACCTACCAACACCGAGAATGCTCTGATGAAAGTAAGATTAAAATCAAAGAAGCAGATCTGATAAAGAGAAAAGCAACGACAGAGATAGAGGAAGCACTGAATCATCATGAGACACAGAATACCATCCTGTTACTGTCCCCCATTATCTTCTATAACACCCCCCTTTAAAAACAGACCCACCCCCATGTCCCGCTGGTGCTCTCAGGCCCATTATCATAATGCCACGCATCAATAATGCAAGTCAATACATTAATAACGCTGGCCTGGAGCATGGAGAAAGAGGGAGAAAGGGAGGAGGGGGGTCCAAGAGGGATGGAGAGAGGAAATACAGACGGCTAGTCCTGGCTCAGCATTTCAAATCAAAACAGTGCTCTTTCCACTGTCCAACATTCAATCTGCACATTTGTTTTTATGGCCCATAGAAGGATCGCCGGAGCTGTCTGCTTGAGCTGCTCCTAATTGTAGAAAATAAGAGGTTTTCCGTGCTCCTAAATGATTTCTCGGCCTGACATGTTTATGAAGCTGAGGAGGAGTTGGGGTTTGTCCCAGTGGAGGCAGCTGGACTTGGTCTGCTTCATGTGTTCATTCATCCATTACCCACATGCTCAGTGAACAACAGGCAGTTAAACACCCAGCACATCTCCTCCACTACACTAGAGCACATCGCATTTTTCTAACTAATCCCATAAAGTGCCAAAGGTTTATCTACTACAGGAAATCTATATAAATATTGAAATTTGTTAAAATTTCATGAATACCAATTACTACAAAACCAATCAGAAACATCATAATTACAGCCATTGTGTAATATGAAAAAGAAACAAATAATGTTTTTTTGTTCACTCATACTGATTAATCTCCATTTCTGATTCAATTTTATTTTGGCGTATCTAACACAAATCAATATAAATTGTCTGAACATATACATTTAATCAGTGCATTTACACAAGAATATAGTAATATGCGCTTCCAAAGTCTGAAGTCTGCTCCCAACCACCAAAAACACAGAAATAACTGAATCTCCATCTTTATTCAGTAGCCCAGTCCTCATCATTATACAAGGAAATCAAATATAAACTGAATCCAAATCATCTTTAACCCTAGATATATTTCTTTTTTGAAATATATTAGAGAAATTGCCTGATGTATTTTTAAGAATGTTAGACCACAATATGACCACTCTTGGGATCAGCACGAAGAGTTACTTTACCCAATGCAATTCCTGAATATAAAAAAATAAAGCAAAAACTTAACTGACATGTTGTTCAACCACTGTGTTATCAAATAGCTTGTAGACACTTAAGCCTTATCGGCCTACATTACAGACACGATCAATACATTTGAGGTGTTCTTTAAATATCCCAGTTGTAATGCTATCTGATGGAGGGCTTTCTATTTTGCATTTAGTTTTCCATGACTTTATAGCTGTCTGGTCTCACACATCACTTTTACTGCTGCTCTGGACAAGATCAACTCCAAAAGATGACATAATTGAGCAATGAACTTCTTAGAGACCTTGAAATTTAACTGTGAGTAAGAAACTATTTGGATTTCCAACTACCATGAGTTTAAATCCGATGAAAAAAGAAAGGCCGTAAAATAAATTAGCAGTTTTATCAGAACTAAATCAACATAAATCTAGTTAAGTCCTAGGATTAAATCAAGTTATTGCGAAATATTAAGTAGTGTGATAGAAAAATGTGTAATGTCATGTAATATACTGTATTATTCATGTCCTTTGTAAATGTACTAAATGCCCTAGTCAGTGGCAGAATTAACAATTTGGGGTCCCTAGGCGAACTTGAGTTTGGGGTCCTCACTATAGTGCACTGTTGTTTTGTTTTTTGTTGTTGTTTTGTTTTTTTCCCTATATTTATTGTCTGTTTTCCCCCATTGTTCTTGAGACATGTGGATCTCTATTATGGTGGATTGCAAAACTTGTCTTATTAGTTAAGTATCCTACTAGATAACCAAAGCTGAAAGTAGTTTTATTTTTTTGCTAGTACAATTACATTTTTGTTTACATCCATTACATTATTATTTTTCTTATGATTATTGTTTAAAAGCAAACTACTTTCATTTAATGTCATATTGAGAGAAAATCTAATTGATCTGAGGCCTTGGTCATTAGTAGCACTGAGGGATATTGGTTGGGGGCCCCTTCAAGTTTGGGGGCGATAAGCAACCACCTACTTTTGCCAAATGGTAGCACCGCCTTTGGCCCTATTTAGAAAAACATTATGTGATGTGTAAAATGTAAACTTTTGTTTTAAGATGTCATAGATTTGGCGAGCTAAGATTCCATGTGAACCAAGGTCACAATAAACAGAACAGCAAGATTCATCTTAAACCAATGAGCTTCTGTCTTCTCACAGTACAAAGGGTCTCTGTAAGATCTTAAGAGTATGGACAGTGCAGACAAGAATCTCTCCATGTATGTACGGCCTCCTTTGATCACAGTGTAACTAAACTTTTAAACTTTTCCACTGGATGCCTTGTTATTTTTGACTTTTATCTTAATGAATGCTAATTGAACCTTCTAAAACTAAATTAGACCTAATATAATGTCCATAAACTGCAAAACTCCAAATTAAAATTTCCAGAAATAACAAGTAAAATCTATCCTTCTAAGAATCAAGTGTAGGTTATGTTTATATAGATGGAAACAATATATCTTTAACATATATTTTTTACAGCTTAGGGGCCTTTCTAAAAACATGTATCCTTCCAAAAAGAAATCCCACAAACTATTAATAAATCATCTTCACCTCCTTGTTTTTGTGACTTCTCTCACGACCTTAAATCTGAATTTCGCTCCATCTTTCGCAGCCATACTGGTCCATCCCACATTGACACTAAAAATGTTTACTACGACTTCCTGGTTTGTGGAGCCAGGGAATGCACTGTGGATATAGGAAAACTCTGGGAACTGCACAGAAGCGGCTGGGCCAATGCTGGATTCTGCAGTATTGACCTTTAACCCCCACTCTCAAATGGAGATGCATCCACCACTACGGCTAAATATACTTCTCAGCTCTAGCGCAGTAAATCTGGTCAGCTAGCCTTAATCACTGTGAAAGAACTGCACTAAATATTTTGGTACTTCTTACTACAACATTTGGAAAAGGTCTCGCACCTCAATCCTCCACCATCCCTGGTTCTCATAAAATCTTACAGCGTGACTCTGCACCTCTCCCTACATGGTAAAAGGCCGTACAGGGGGCAACAATGCTATGTGCTCACAAGTAAGCTAGTTTACTACCAACCAGCAGCTGAAGTCCAAACCTGACATGAAACATGCTTTTCTCACCTGTAACAGAAACATTATACGTCACTACTCATTCAATGACAGCTGTAAGCCAAAGCAATAAAAAATGTATAGTGGCAGCAATGCGCTATATAGGCCGATTTATAATAACAATTTATGAGAAAAAAAAGGCACTGTGCAGATTACATGTTTAAAACAACTTTTAATCTAAATTTATATATTGTGAATTCTGGTACTTGGAAAAACAAAACAACACAAAAGGGATATTATAGAAAAAATCACTATAAACAATAAATAAAGTCAAGCTACAGATATTTTAAGTTATTTAGTATTAAAAGCACTCACTTGTTGTCTTTCTATTGACAGAACATTGTGCAGACAATAACACTGTATGCATTCACATTCTTCTCCTCATTAGTAAATCAAATCCATGGAAAAGAAGAGACAGCACACTACAAAGACAGTTCTGGGTCAAATTGTGGCTGTATTCTTCTTGACTGACTTCACATCTATGCTTTGAAATGTAGTGTCAGGGCATCAAAGTGAAATCACTCAATCAAAAGTCAACTGAGATCAAACGCTAGACAAGACGCTTCTTGTGCCCATTAACATGTGATGTGTGTGAGATCACCACAGCTGAACTTCAGAAATTAATTGCACCACTTTAGTTTGACTATTTAGTGAGACGACATCAAGCTCATTTGGTTAATTGATCGTGATTACTGATCAGTTATTACTAAAAATTTTAAAGTGTGACATTTTACCAGAAAACAAAAGCCAATTCAGTCAGTTCTGAAAAAAAAACAAAAACTCACACACTTGAAGTATATATTAGATAATAGGGCTGGGTATCATTAAGAAGTTGCTGATACGATACATACCTCGATACATAGGCCATGATACAATACATACCTCGATACAGTGCACTTTCGGTCCGATATGATATATTTCAAATCGATGCGATACAGTTCAGTAAAGAATAAAGGCTAAATCCTGCCTGTGATATGAAAAGTCTTTGTTAAACCACTTCTTGTGCAAAGTTCATATGAAACACAAACATTTTAATCATCAAAACAGTGAAAATATCAAATATGTCGCATAAATGAATTCCCTTCCTCTAAACAAGCAACAAAACTGTAGCGCTGTAACAAAATAATTAAGTAAAACATATCAAAAAATACTCTTGGCTATATATCGATACAGCAGTCCCTGATATCGATACTGTATCATCGCATTAAACAATACAATATATTGATATTTCAGTATTTTTGCACACCCCTGTTAGATAACAGTAAGAAAGAGAAAGAAATTAGTCTGTTTAATATAGTATGTACAGATGGGCACTGATCTTTCATAATTTTTAGTCCTGGACCTTTTACTTGTTTGTTACCAAAATAAACATTTGGCAACAAAAAAAAACATTAATAGATCATGATGTAAATAATCACAAATAACCTTTAAATTGTGATGTTTTTTCTCACAATAATCATACAACTAAACACTGAAATCCTTATTTGCAAGGATCATAAATTGAGTGGAGCCGAGGTTCTGGCATATGTGTGTAACTGTCTCTGTCACTCACTGTCGATGCAAGGCGCGCACACCGTCTGAGTGACCCCACATTCTTTAACGACGCCTTCTCCGGGCTGACACTGCTTACAGCATTCTCCACTGGCCGTATACTGGCCAGACAAGCATCGCGAGCCCTTATTGGCCAGAGCTCCAACCTGCAAAATGACACAGAATAAGAAATCTGTTACATTATCTGGTCATACGTCTTTCACAGTACTTTAAGCATGATATATTGTTACAGAGATATACTGCAATAAATGATAATATTGAAACAACTTTAAGTCACTGACACATTGACAATAATGCAACATAATCCCGCTAAAACATTTTTAAATAGACCGTATCATTCAAAAGGTCTGAGCGGCAACAAATAGCAGAATGATTCAATAATTAGTCATAGGAGATACGTATTTAACCCTGTACAGTGCAAATCTTTTCACACAACAACAAACATAAAAAAAACCCTCACCATTATTGCAAATAAACTATATAAAAATAAAAATAAAACAAATAAAAAGAAATAATACATCAAAATAAATAAATATTGAACCACAAAATGCATTGTTCCTGTTTTGATTGAACGATAAGTCTAAAACTGAGCTAAAGTACACAGTTAGCAGTTTTTATGCAGAGTAAGACAAGATACTTTGTTGTTCATGTAGGAAATTTTGGTACTTTAAAAAATTTGCTAATTGAGTCCATTCAAACTGCCGTTTCGATTTGATTTCGAGAAATTGTGTAGCACTACTTTGAAAAATGTGTGGGCCACTTTGGGTTTTATCTTAAAACTGCACAACTTATTCATTCCCATGGCCAGGGTCAAACATTAGAAGATGATTTATGAAGCAGAAAAAGCTAAGGCTGATATGTGCTACTCCATATCCTTCAACTGTATGTATGCTCAGTTTGGTTGTGAAATCTAATCTTTATTTTGGCTACTGCCCTTTTCAAATTCTACAAAATGTAATTCAATTTGTAGAGTATTTTAAAAGATTGTCTAGTTTTAGTAAAAATTGTATTGTTATTCACTAAAAATAAATGCTGAGAGATTTTATTTTTATTAAGAAAAAAATATGTCAGATATGACTGAAAAAAATATGACTTTATTACTGCAAAATCCTTATTTGACCTCTCACTTTGCCTGCCACTCTTTTAATTCCTTGTGCGAATCACTGACTCATGTTTTTACTTTGATTGAAGTTTTGGCAAAGACAAATGTCAACATTATAAGACTTAAATTAAATAACAATAAGGTTATGGGCCAAACTTAATCAACAAACACACATCAAATACATTCAAGAGTCAAGGGAGGAGGTATCACACGCACCTATGATTACCTCAAATACCATCCTGTATGTCAAGATGCAAGTAAACAAAGCTCCACTCTGTATAAATGGAACATTTGCATTTCCTATTAACTATCTATTGTTGCTGTATCACATAAAAAATATTTGGATCTAAGAAAATGATGTTCGAGGCAGTGGGTAACAAGAGGTCAGCGCTGTATTTCATTTAGATTGAAAATGTATTTAAGCTTAGTATGTGAAACTTCATATTGTTAGAAAAACACAGAGTATTTGGTTTACTTCATGTTTTACATTTTACATGAACATACCTCAATAATATCAAAATAACAATCCAACATCTGTAAGAATAGAGTACTGCTGTGTGGCTCATCAAGTATTATTGTGTATTATTAGCTCTTACTAAGTGCATATGCAAATGCAAATAAACCCGTGGCACGTGTCACGTTTGAAGGTGTGTTTTGGACATAAATCATCAGGCGTTGGGCCTCAGGTGTGTGCGGAATGCTGTTGACAAGAGGGAGGCGTGTCCCCCCTGGGGGAGTCAGCTGCTCTGTGTCTCTCTTCTCTCCCATTTGTGTCTATGTGCAGTTATATGAGAATTACACAATAATACTCGGTAATAGCTTTACTTGGGAAACATTTAGAAAATTGTTCCTCAATGCTGACATGACATAGTCACATATTTCTATTATTTATAGATGAAAATTGTTATTTTATTATTTATTATTTTTTATTTAACTTTGAAGATGCATCAAATATAGAAACATAATGAATGAACTTGATTTTTATTGCCTTACTACCCTAATACTCCCTGAATATTGACTTGGATGTGCTTGTGTGTGTATTACACAGGTGAGTGCATGCAGACTCCTGCCCTTCATGGCTCATTCACATTGGAGCCTCTGCTTTTCAGGGATGTCATTGGAGTTTCAAAGATTTCTGTCAGGGGCCTCTTGGGGAAAGTTTTAACTTGAAAGAAGTATGAACATTCTGGTATTTGGGCTTTTAAAAACATGACAAGTAACAAGAAATATATGTTTTATTGGAAGGATACAATGAGTGGTGTTTCTACATGTAGAAGTAATGAGCCTAAGGTGTAAATGTACTGATTTGACACTCAGGTTGTATTACACTATTACAGCAACTACTACAACTACTAGTACTACTACTACTAATACTACTACTACTACTACTACTACTACTAATACAAATACTAATACTAATACTAATACTAATACTAATACTACAAATGCAATAATAATGACAGTGCATGAGTTTCATCAGTCTTGATACTTGCTAGTATACTATATGCTACTTCTAGATATCTGAATAGATTTTCTTTTTATCTGTCTTTCCCTATAAAATAATTCAAGTAAAATTGTTGAAGGTTAACATTCAAAAGAAAATAATAGATACAATAAAAACTCTATGCAGGCCCAGACAGAAAACATCTCTTTAAAAATACTGACTATTTTTACAGTAGACCACTAAATGTCTGTAAGGAGTTTACTGCTTGTTCCTTTTAACCTATAGCTGTGTCTGAATGCTTACACAATCAGGTCTTTGAAAATGAATGAACTCCCACTGCATATAGCCATCTTCGTTCCTGCTGGAACTGTCCCTAGATTATAGTGTCTACGCCCATGCATTTGCACAAACGCATAAACAACACAGCATTCACTCACGGCTCAACAAACCTGTTCCCAAACTTGTGACTGACATTTTGAATAGTCCCTTTAACTTCTCTTTGACCCTGCTTCTTATAAGGTGTGTGGGCGAAACATAGCTTAAAGAAGATTTGATACATTCTAATGGCTTTTAAATTGGGTGGATACAACTGAATTATAATTACAGCATGTTCTGGTGAAATTAACGTGCAGTTTTTGTAATGCAAAGATGCACAAGATTTTGCGTGTTGCGGCATGACTTTTGCTCCTCTTATAAATGCGTTTCAATGTGTTTCGGGCCTGTACTTTTATCCCTCAAGTCAAACAGACAAGACTGCGCTAACACACAACAAATCCATCTGGCTGTGTTATAACTCCAGACCAATTTTACTAATGCCCCCAGTCAATGTTCAGTTGGAGGCACTTAACCTTTGCTCTCAGCTGTCAGCACTTGTTATGCCATTTAAGATCTGCTGCTACTATACCAACTCTTCCATAGAGCCTGGCCTAATTTAAATCCATATCGTAGACTGGAAAACACTGGTAGCATTGACATTATGGTGGTTAATGAGTTCTCAGACAGCGCTGAATCATCTTGAACCAGAAAATGGGGACTGGAGACTGGAATGGTGATGTGAGCATGAGGTGAAAGCGTGAGGTGGGAGGAGGAAGGGGCTTCTATCAATATTGCATGTGCTGAGCCAGCAGAGGATGCATAGCCATCAGAGAAAGCATCTGTCATGTATCTGGGACAGTTAAGGCCAAAACTAGAAGCAAATCATGGTTTTCTGGGTTAAAGACAAAAAAAAAAAAAAAAAAAAAAAAAAAAAAAAAAAGATAATAATAATAACTTTTTCAGTTGTCCCCTCAGACATCCACATGTCCGTTTATCCAAGCTGTGGAATAATACAGAGACACTTGATATTAAAAGTAATGGTACAATAACAAAATATAAGTGTATAAATATAATAAATAAGCGATATTCTGGTCACATCACTATTATGCAAAAATGTAAACCAAATAAAATTCTGTAGGAATTTTTAGTTTAGATTAAAAGAGCACAAACGTACACAGTTCGAAGCAATGTGAATGTAAATAATTATGTAAAAATCTGTTTAGCCATCGCCGCTGTTTAAGTACTTTTTAGGTCGTAGAAAAGGTGCTTTGACTCCAGGAAAAGACAAGCTAAATAATTGTTTATGAATATGTAGGGTCCTGGACAGAATTACAAACAAAATCACACAATAAAACTATCTGAGCTCAAATGTATCATTTGAACTTGAATTCAATGATTCAAAATAGCCAAAGCGAGAATACAGTAAATTACTTATATCTGCCAAATCTGTCCCACGTGGTTTATGGATGCACTGATTCCACAAAGGAGCTGACTGCGCGGGGGGTTTTGTCCTCCTGTCCTGTCTGTAAAGGACCATGTAACTGAGAAGGGTGGAACTACAGATGCAGCGACAGAAGCGATAGAGTATCCGTCTCAAAGGCTGCAGTACATCCGCTGGGCTTTCTGCATTGTCGTTTGGGTCATGCGGGACAGGTGCAACTTCAATATGCAGCATTACGCATGGACACAACCACAACTCCCTTTTTAACGTGTCATTTTAAAGTGCAAATGTATGGTATAAACGTGAAATAGTTTATGTTGAATTACAGAGGAATCTGCGTCAGCACGTTTTTAGAGAGTTGTAAAATCTGGACCAATCAGGTGTTGACGCACAACGTAAGGCTTCTCTAAAAACTTTATGTGACTTATAAAACAGTAAACTCACCAGTCCGAGTAAGACTACGAGGAATACGGGCTTCATCCTGTGTGTCCTTGGCATCTTCCCAAAGGTCTCCGTCCAAATTAATGATAAAAAAGGATGCAGCGAACTTTTACCGGAGAGAATTCCACCCGGCTCTCATTTCTGCGGCTTGTTTGTTTATTTTGAGGAAAATTGACTATCTGTCCTCATAAGGCGTTTTAATGGCAGAACTGGATCACAAAAAGTCTAGTCCTGGAGAACTCCGGTCCATCGGATGTCCCGCACAGATCTGCCTCACGCTGGGCTCTGGTGACAGGAGCCGTGCTTTAGCAAAGGAGCCATGACGTGTCCACGCCCACCGCACGCACGCACAGTGCACACACGCACACACTCGTGTCTTAAACGCAATCAGACTCCGGGATGATGTTACTGACTTGCACAAACTTCCAGCCTGAACTTTTGATTCACAGTCTAAAAACAATTGAAATATTCTTTCAGGGAAATGTAGACTTAGCCTATAGACTACTTAAAAACCGTAATAACAGACACTACAGACACCTAAACTGCTCAGTAAGCTCAGTGTAAGAGTAGTATTTTAGGTAATTCTGGGGTATTCCTCTTTAGGAGCATTATTTTATTTTGGGAAATTTTACAATAAATAAAATTAATTGCACAGATTAAAATAAGTGTCCTCTACTTTTCTCAGATAGTACACCACAAGCTTCTTACAGATATAATTTTAGGTGTAAGTACTTAGGCAGAAAGCATTTCTCAGTTCTGCATTGTGCTGACCTCGTTTTACTGCATTCTGCACCAAAACCATTTATGGACCAAGTGCTCTACATGATAGAGCACTTTCAACCCTCTGAACTGAACCCACCTTTAATCCAGATACCCAAGATTCACACTGTCTCACATGTATGCTAACCCTGGGAAATGTCAATGCATGTAATTTCATATTAGGTTTTACAGATTAACAGCCAGTAAAACCTCAAACCAAACTTTCACATTAAAACCCGTTATTGACAGATCAAGATATTACATGTCCCACTCTCCATAAATTAGACTAGTAAACACAGTAACACTGTTGTCTTTAGATGCATTGCATCATAGATTCTCAGGTTTGAACTTGGGTCTTTCATAAACAGATTTTCCCTGCAGCAAAAGTGATGATCTTGAGATTCACTTTTCTCATAATTATGATTGCACTGAGAATGAACACTTCATTAACAAAGTAATATTGAGTAATATTATTGCTTTCACTACAGGTTAAAGCTGCTTGGAGAAGTGGTGACTTAAGATGTGTTCATACTTCACATTCAACATATCAAAATTTTGAATAAAATAAATACAGACTAAACCAAGTCTACATCAGGACTAAACTGGGCTCAAACCCAGGATCAAACCAAGATAAGTGTAAATGCATTTGTCCAGATAACTGCGCTGGAAACATTTGTGATTATTTCCTCAAAGATGTATTTTAGCATTTATTTTAGTGTTTTAGCATTGCTTTATTTGTTAGTTTATTTGTTAGCATTATCAGTGTAGTTTAGGTCTGTGCAATTAATCCAAAACTAATCTTAACTGTTAATGATCAGCTTTTTTAATTGAGAGGTTCACAGCTAACCTCTATCCTTAAAATGTGGTTCAGACCTTGGAGGAAGAAATTAGACTATTTTGGTTTTAAATGGCATTATTAAAAGTCTGTATGGCATTCTTAAAATAAAAGCAAATAAAAAATTGGGATTCATCAGAATGAGGGACAAAATAGGTCCAGTAACCTAACAAACTTGCCACACAAATGTTTCAAGTTTAAGACAGGTTATAGTGCAGTATAGGGCAGATGGACACTTATTAATTGATGATTTGGGGTATTTGAGGTTACAATGGCATGAGCAGATTTTCTCATAAAGGAGAAGGCCCAGTTTGTGTTGGTGCCAGAGCCAAAGTGCTGTGTTAACCAGTCTCTTTACATTGCAGCCCATGGAACAGTGATTTATAAAGCGCTTGTAGGGCTGAGGGCAGCGTGGTACGAGGAGTGCAGGACAGGAAGCTGGTAAGGCTTTATAAATAATGCACAAAGCCAATGAGAGAGACAGTGGGAGAGTCAGCCATGGAGAATTAAATTAGCTCAAATAAATGTTACTTTTCCATGCAGCTGCTGCGTGATGGGTCAGGGCTTCCTTATTTAACTCCATATTACCCACTGAAGGCACATGATGTATACAAATAGACTCAATGCCTTTTACATTTTTTCCATTTGAAGAACGCAGTTGCATGATTGATGTGATCTTACAAAGCCCACCTAATTGTAATGGCCCATATAATCATACATAAACATAAAATATTAAACATGGTACTTACCACTATGATATAGCTTTACAGTTTCAATCATGTCAGACCTATGTATCTGAAGGATTCAAGCCACACATATGCACACAATGAGTTTAAAATTCTGATCCTAACCAGGTTTGTGTATCAGTTGTGCCATTAAGTCTGTATTTGACAAAAGTAAAAACATTTTGTCTGACTTTCTTTTACTGAACTTCTGCAGCAAGAAACTTTGGCCCTGTCTTGAAAAAACTTGCCTGGAAATCCAGAAGGATATTTCTCTGTATTTGTAATACAGCTCCATATCAGTCGCTGGTACCGCGATGAGTCTGGATTCGTCCAGGCAATGAAATAACATAATTTGGGACACAAATCCATGCTCTAAATTGTATTATAAAACATAATATTCTTACCACCCTCTGATCATCATTTGTTGATATGTTAAGCATTAAAGATTACTATTATAATTGCTTATTTTTTGGCATGTGATGATAAATTTTGATGTCGAACTCTCATCTTTGCTTATTTCCAGTGAATCACGTGGCCACACACGCAGCACATGTATACTTAAAATATTCACTAGACTCTTGGACGAACAAATAGGACACACAACATAGACGCACCCAGTCGCCATCTGTCACCCGCCAGTGGACAGAGGATGGGTGGTCCACAAGACATCCACTGTCCCATCTCAAGTTCCTGGAATAAGGGATTTGGTTCCAGGAGGTCTCCCCTAAAGAAAAAAAAAATTAGAAATGATTAAAGCTATATAATGAGCAGGTATTCAAAGCTTTTACATGTATCTAGACAGCAGAAACAGTGCTATCTGATGCAGGCTCCTGTCTAGCTCTCCTTCTAATGTTCGGTAATAGATGGAGGGGCTCAAATGACTCGCCTTGGAAGTCCGAAGATCACTCTCAAGCACTCAACAATAAGCGGCTGAGGAGGATGGATTATGTTCCTGGTTGAGAGCACTGCGGAGGTTTCTATAGGTCTACACAACTTCAAAACAAGCAAAACACACATTACTTTAGTAAACTTATAGTGAAGAATTTGACCATTTCAGTTGGGGGTTCAATTTGCACTTTGTCTGTTGGGCCAGATGGTAGAAAACCCATGGGACACTCTCATCTGCACTGTATTGATCCAATCTGTCCATCCACTGTTCTGGCTTTTTACCGTACGTCTCCACTTCTATTCATTATCTGACATGTCTCACAGTGAATGAGCCACTATGAAAGCATGACAAGATTATGAGACTATTTGCAGTCATATACAGTAGAAAGTTAAAGCACCAATAAAGTAACCATGATAATGTTGTTAAAGGTGCACTGTGTAACTTTTTTGGTGGAGGGTACTTCAAATGCTTTTTTCCATGGAGATATTATTGCATTGTCTGGAACATTTCACAGTATGGTATTAAGCCTTTCTATTGTCATGGAAACCAAATCAGATCAAGTTACAAGGTCAGATCTGTGGAGACGCAACCCTGCTCACAGTCAAAATGCCTGTATTTCTAGGTATTTTTGGCCTTTAAAACTGCCTGTAATTTAATAAATATGAGGTAAATCTATTTAATGTCATATTGTGTAATGTCATTCTAAGCAGAGCAATGGCATATCCATAGAAACAAACAGGTGATGACCCTCAACCAAAAAGTTACATAGTGCACCTTTAACAAAAGTATCACTTAGACTTAGACTTAGACAAACTTTTTTGATCCACAAGGGAAATTATTTGGACACAGTAGCTCACACATCACAGCATATATAATAACAACAATAATAATAAGAGTTTAGACATAAGGGGCTAAACACTGAATATTATAACTGTATATGACTATATGGAACAAGTCTTCAATGCTTTAAAATGTGGCTACTGTTTGTTTGTTGTTGTTGTTGTTTTTCTTTTTTTTCCTTTTAGGGTTATTTTGGCATAAATATAATTCAAAGAAAAAAACAGATATATTGTGACTTAAAATATAATACTTGGCAATATAGATGTGTAACTTACAATTACATGCTGAAGACAAAATAAAAGTTTATATGTCATTTGCTTCTCACCAGTAGCACTGCAGAAATACAGTCACAGCAGCCAGCTTTGATGCCACCTGCAACTTTAATTAATAATGGTGCTGCCCTCTGGTGGATTTGTTATTGCAGTCCATCCAACCCGCAGCAGTGTAAAATTTATCTATGTGAAGTGGTCTCCTTTTATTCCTGCCTTTCTCTGGGTCTGTACTTCTAACTGTAACTACTGACTCTTTACAAATACAACTAAAACCACCACTACTACAAATACTGTAACGCTTTGTGAGAATTATACAATGTTTCCCAGATTGATTTACTGGTATTGTATATGCTTCATCTGCAGTCCAGTTGATACGATGAAATAATAACAATAAATAATTGAATAAATAAAATAACAAGTAAAAGGTGAAACTACAAATGAGTACACTGTTTTGGTAAACAGACGTTGTCACTGTTGTTCCCTTTTGTCTGGACACGGATGAATTACTGTTGAGTGATGCAGGCTGAAGGTTATTACTATCACTATTCAATTATACAATATGAGCTCGAAGTAGAGGTCACTTTTGATGAGAGTAAACAGTACACCCAGTCTCAAGAACTTCCTCTACTGAACAGTTTATGATGACACCTAAATAACACTTGCGTGTCACTTTTCAGGTACCATGCTTTATCTGGAATATTTTACAGGATGTGGTAGAAAAAATGTCCATTTTATATATTAAAGTTCATGTATAGGTGATTTTAGTTTTAGTTTAGTTTAGTTTATTGTACTTATTTAGTGTCATGTACAATTTAATTGGTGCCCAGCCCGCATGGGCTTATAAGACACATAAAACAATAAGCAGACAGATCACACATCAAACATAAAGTGTCCTTTTACGGAGGTCCCAGGCTTTCAACACAAACTGAGCCAACTTGAAAACATTACATTTAAACAGATACTTCAGTTTCTCCTCATCAGACATACCAAACCAAGAGTAAGACACATTAGACAACAACTGACAGCGAAGATCATGATACAAAGGATAGTAAAAGTGATGAAAAATGTGTGTTTTTACTGTGAGTCCTATAATTTGGCCTGGTGGCATAATCTTCTTGTCTAAATAGATAATAATGCCATCCTCTGGAACAAGCCATGGGCAAAGCCATGAAGTCCATGGAGACAAGCAGGTGACAGACCCCAGAAAAGTTATATAGTGCACCTGTTGTATAATATTTCTTTTATTTGTTTTTTTCTCTTTTATAAATAAACTTTAGTTTTAAATCTTGATCTCCCTATCTACATATTAGTCAGCACAATGTGTTAATAAATCACATCTTGTTTTATTGGAATACTCTTAAGTGTATAGCATCACTCTTTTACAAGTCTCATTTGGTAAATGTTCTGAAGGTTAGCATTAGCAGCCCTGAAAGCCAAGCCACTGTTGTCCTGTGAAACATAGACATTAATGCTCAGATAAGATGCAGGTTGGATACTGACTGAGACAGGTTTCCTGCACATACCAAGGCGCTGTATTTACTATCAATATTTTGGGTGAGAACACTGGGGCTTGTGGTGTGCATGGGGCAGAGGTAATAGGTCTGGAGACTGTGCACGCATATTTTAGCCCTTCCTATCCCCATGCAGTGTGGGTCTTTAAAAGGCCGCTGTTTATAAAGTCACGCTTTCTGCCACTCTGGGCCAGTCACTTGTTACTGCTGCAGGACTCTGACACAGGTAAGAATCTACTTTATGGGAAAATACAACGATCTGAAAGATTTATTTATGTTCACTGAGAAAAAAAACAAAACATATTTTAAAACTTTTTAAATGGACAGGTATCTTAAGACTGCAGGTGGAGAATATAAATGTCACCACTTTGCAGTATAGATATTACTCTGTGAATCTAATATGAGAGTGACTGCAGTATGTACATGAAAGAATGCATCATTATCACATTTACTACTATCAAGTTACACAATTGATTAGTGATTCTGTAATCCAGGCTCACCAGATCATAAGTTTACTCTTTGTACCTGTCCCAGTTACAGAGAATATGTAAATGAGCACTACTTAAAAGAATATTTCTGTACTACCATTTGGACTGGACAGTTTGGGTAAAATTATTATTATTATCATGATTTTTTTTTATTTTTTTTTTTTTAGAGTATTTGATGCTAAATCTATGAAGCACTATGGTCAATCATGGTTGTTTTAAAAATGTAACTGATCCATATCTGCACAATGACTCAAGGCTCCAATAAAAAGACTACCATTAATTTGAACTATTTATGTGTACACATTTTCCAGTAAGAGTCATCTTAATTTGCATAGTAAAATTGCAAGTGCTATTGTGCCTAGCATTAATGAATGGCATTATAACAGAGGAATGTAATTCACTTACATCATTATGCAACTCGTGAACAAGAGAATAGGAGCTAAAGTGAATGGGTGACTTTTGCTCTGGTCATTCTCTATTTTAAACCTACACACACTTGAGTAATCCACAGACAGAGTTGCCAAAATGGGCTAGACAAACCTAAAAACTGTAGGAAAAAACAATGTTTCTTCTTAACTATGGAATGCCAAAATACAAAATAAACATTTTTTAAAATCAACACTTTCCAATTTCCTGCCCTTCTTGCCCAGGGCCCCGACAGTGTCTAGAGACAGCTCTGTCCACAAGGGAATGTATTTGATTGTATTTAATTATTTATTTTATTTTCAGCTTACTAATTAGGGATGACAGTGGCTAGAGCAGTCTTTCACCAACCCGAAGATCACAGGACACTTCATTCACCTTGCCTAGTATAAATGTGGTATGTGTGTGTGTGCGTGTGTGTGTGTGCGTGTGTGTGTACCTGTACACATGAGTGAGTGATGGGTGGTGGCTGGAAGTGATGGTGCAGATTGTCAGCCTTGTAACCGAAGGCTGATGTGGCTAAATACTAGCTTGGGTATGGAATGAATGAATAATGTAGCACTGTGTAGCACTTTGAGAGTCTTTGAAACACTTAAAGAGTGCAAGACATTTTATTTTATTATTGTAGATGTTTAGTTGAATTGTAAAATGTAAAGATGCTTCACTGCACCTGATTTTCTGCTTCATTTAGATTAGATTAGATACATTAGATAGATACTTTGTTATCCTGAAGGTAATTTGTTAATATATATTCAAAGGTCCATAGTGGCTGGATACATTGTGACTTGCAATACCCCAAATCTCCAGCACTTGATCAATGCTTCATTTGCACCCACCACAGACATGCTCAGTGAAACAATAACATATCTCATCCAGTGTCTTATCTGTCTCCTTTCTTTGGTCACCTATGTTTTGGAAATAACTGTACATGTTGTTATAGACAACTCCACGACTGTCTTCAAAGACAGACACAGACAAAGTGGAGATATTTTACATAAGTTATGTTTGTTTTGTATGTCCGTTCATTTTAAGTAATGTTAGAAACATGATGAATTTGACATTTGGTCAACCAAACATGAATTAGAACATGACAGGTGCATGTAGTCAGTAAATCACCACATACTGTTTGTATTTATTGCCCAGAAAGTGCTGCATATTTCATTCCCTCCGTTACTGACATGAGTTTTTAATTTTTTTGTCAACAACTTGAAAGAATATCGCAGGGTTAACTTTACCCTGTTGGAGTGGAAACTCTTTCCTACCTTCTAATACCTTAATTATTTCAATAGTCCCTCTAGTTTCTGAATAAGAGCTATTTGAATGTAAAAAATCTGCCCCTGTTTCCCTCCGTTACCGCTTGACCGGACCCTACTACATTTGTAACCTAATTCTTTCAATGAACTGAGTAGATTAGCTAAAATAAGTTGCTAGCCTACTATCCTTACTATCCTAAGCACTTATAACTTATATCTATGTATCTTATTGTAGGCCTACATGAGAATATAAAATAATAGCCAGTGATCATTTCAGTCAGTTAGTTTGGAAAAGTTTTGTGTTTAGATTTTCTTTAGAAACACTGGAGACATATGGCTATGCACTCATGTTGTAGTCAAGTGCATCAGGCCTATATTAACAGATTTAACCTACTTTAATAGATGGCTTTCAATTTCTTTTCATTTTAATGACATTAGATTAATGAATAGGTTTCAAAAGACTTCCCTGCTTTGTTCCCTCTTTGTAAATGTAAACTAGGTCTACGTGTGATTGCATTACTCCAACAGAAACATTTGTGAATGGGTCTTTGTTGTGAACATGGTGAAAATCGTCTCGGGACCCAGGGCCATTTAAAGCAGCGCTGCCCTGAGCACAGGCGCCCATGTGACACACAGAAGTGTCCTCACCTTCGCCTGGCTCCAGATGCTCCAGCGCGGGCACACGCGGGCACACGCGGGCTCACCGAGTATTGACACTCCAAACACGCGGCTGCTCTTCGAGGGATCCTCCACAACGAGACTTTAATCGCCTTTGTCACTCTGTCTCATGCTTCCTGACTGCTGTACTAACGTACTGAGGCTCCTAGTCCTAAATACAGTAACGATGCAGTGGAGATGACAGTTGGATCTAATTAACTTTTTTTTATTGTCAGAGTTGGTTAATAGCCATTTTTGTTAGTTGGAACACGAGCTATGTAAGTACCATCTACAACCTCAACGTAAGCTTTGCCATTAATTATCTTAGTTAATTAACTTTATCATACCAATGGTGCAACTTATTTATCTCGCCAGTGTTGTTAATGTTTTGCTATAGGCCTGTGTGCTGTGCTCAAGAACGAAACTTTTTACTTTTTTATAAATTTAAATTTAAAGAATTTTTATGTACTATTTTAGCAGTCTTATCTCAGCCATTTGACCTGTTATTTCTTTTCAGCATGACCTTTGGGCCCTCTGAAACAAATGATTTCCTAGTTAAGGTCCACAAATATAGTTATTCGTGTTTGCTCTGAGGCTCCAATGATACACTATCCCAAATGAAAAGTGACTATTGAAACCACCACTCACTCATTGCCACAGGCTTGACCGTAACCATCAAAGATACCTGTGGGAGGTGCACCTATTCTTTCAGCCTGGCGTCCAGTTTCGCTCTTGGTCTCATGAACATGCCAGGACGTATGTCCAGGCCTAATTTACATATTCATTGGGTATAATGAGTCTTCTCTATTTGGTCTTTCAGGTGAAGCTAAAGGAGCCAATGAAGGACCAGAAGGAGGGCTACTGGCAGGAGACAGGGCGATGGGGGGGCTACGAGGAGAGCTTTGATCCCCAGGCTGGTGTCTGGGCCTCTTCACATGTCTCCTTTCTCACCTTCAAGAGCCTCATACAGATAAGACGTACTATGAACACAGGTAAGCTTAATTTAAAGAACCTTTCAAATTATTCTGGCCCATTGCTGATCCAGTCATAAACTGTGTATTGTTTCCAGGGGTTATCATTTTCAACTGTGAGGAGCAGAGTATGGCCACCATTGCGGAGAAAATGGTCAAAGAGTTGTTGAACAAAAAGGAGATAAGACCAGGTGATCGTGAAGGAGTGCTCAAGGCCCTGCTACAAAACCACAGGTAAATGTCCCTCGACACACCCAACAGTGACTCAAACAAAATGACCTACATTTAGGAGTTTAGGAGTTTAGAGGTTTGTTATGATTCTGCAAAGAGAAATTTGAATGGTGCACCTGTAACTGTTGTGAGGGCTCAACATGTAATTAAGGGATCATTATTTGACCACAAAACTGCCAACAAAGGTTTTTTATTTAAGCGGGTTAGTACCTAGAAGAAACCATGTACATGTAATCATACAAAGAAAGCATGTCTCAAAATATTTTAGCATTCATAAGATCATTCACAATTTAAGAAAACTTGCAACCTAAATGGCAATCATGTAAGCACTATAATGTAATCTGTTAATAACTAACTTCCTTTCTGTAACCATAGGGTCTTATACTGACCTTGCATAAACCTTACATGAAATAGGTTAAAAAGTACAAAGTGCATGAACTGATTTTAATACATACATAGCAAATGAAAAATGCCAATAAGAATCACTATTATTATTATTATTATTATTATTATTGAATTTAAATCTGCTGACCAAAGAAAGATAATCACTTCTATGGTACATTTATATTTTGACAGGTCATATTTTTGTTTCATGGTGCTTACTGTAGAAAATGTAAACTTTTGTAAAAACTTCCTAGCTACCCGTATTTTGAGAGGCTAGTATAAATACACCATGTCATATTTGTATACCCATAGTTTCAAATGTAATTGTCCTTATATTTACTGTTTACTAAAGATATTCCATGCCCACAGTCCTCAATCACCCATGCAGGGCATTGTTATTGAGTGTTACTGTCATTGCGGGCCCTGTGTCTTTTGGTGCACGTACCAATGACATCTGTTTGTAGTCCGCCCAGTGACCAAGAGAACCAGGCTTTGACCGGGGGGACAGACCTCCAGAAGTTTGCAGTGAAGGAGAGGGTAAGAGTAATTAACCATGATTTCTAAAAAAGTAGACAAAAAAGTACATTATAATTTAAACGGGTACTATGCAACTTTTCTAGTGGAACACACCCACTTGCCTCCATGGTGATATTATGGGTTTGCCTTGAATGTTCCACAATATGGTATAAAATGTATCCATCTAATGTTTATGTAATTACACATATTTTATTGCTCAAAAATAACCTCCTTTTCTCCATGCAGATACAACATAAGATACACACGTTTAGTGTCATACATTGGTACATTCTAGGCAAAGCAATACCATCTCCATAGCGACAAACGAGGTGGACTGTCCATCGGAAAAGTTACACACTACTCCTTTAATCAGAAATGTTGTAATGCCTTATTGCATCTTGTGTAATATTCTTATACATTTTAAGAAACCAGAAATGAATAATCACTTATTTGCATTTTTTTAGAAACAAGATTCTGACAGTGTTGAGGCATCCATAGTTTTAGTAGGTGAGGATCTATTAAAATACATAATACAAAAATTCTAAAATAAAAGTATAATTTTTGAAGTGGCCTCCTCTTTTCCACAGGGGCACTGGACTTCCTGGAGAAACCCACAGTTGCGTTTGTGCGTCTTAAAGAAGCGGTGGAGCTGGAGTCGTCCTTTGACACCCCCGGACCTGTGCGCTTCATCTTCATTCTGATTGGACCCAGTAATAGTGACATCGACTACCATGAGACTGGACGTGCTATGGCAGCTTTACTGGCAGATAAAGTGAGCCAAACACCACAGTGGGAGATACTGACAACATTTATACTTTTTAATATCTATATTTTAATATTTGATCTCACATGCCATTCTAGTTTCCACTAACGAATAACTGTTACACAGATAGTTATAACAGTGTGTTTGCAATGACTAAGTAGGATCAGGATAAAGATTATATGATATAAGAATACTAACTGCAATTTGAATGAACAATATAAATTAGGAAAATTACACAATTAAGAAACATACTACAAAGTTATCTACAGAGTGGTGGTAATTAATGTGTAATTAATAATTAATGTGGTAATCATATATTTCTCAAATTTTAGGTGTTTAATCTGGCAGCATTACAGGCCAAAACGCCCCGGGAGCTGACAGATGCGGTGACTGGTTTCATGGACTGCAGCATCGTCATACCTCCAACTGAAATCCAGAATGAGGCTGCACTTAGCTCCATCATCAACTTTCAGAAAAAACTACTGGAGGAACGATGCCCGCCGAAGGAAGAAGTCTGCCTGGACATCAAGCCTCGTAAACGTATGTATTCTGAAATCACATCAAGTTACTTTGTACTTTGTGCATATATGATATATAAAATATATGGTGTATATGAAAGTCAGAAAAAGTGGTTAAATCAAGCCAGAAAAAAATGTACTAGGTGCACTTTGTAACTTTGCTGCCGTCTTGTCTGCTTGAAGAAGTTATTGTCTTGCTTGAAATTTTCCACATCATGCCATTAAAGTTATCTATCTCCATGGAGTAGTAAGTGACCACCAAAAGGCCAATTCTTGGGTCAGATCTGTGGAGAGGTGACCACGCTCTCCATAAGAATGCATATATATTGTCATTTTGAGCAATAAAAACATATCTGATTGAAAACCCTCCATCAGAAATGTTACATAACTTGCATTTAAATTGAATGTCACCATGTTCACTAATCACTTCATCTCTTCTGTTAGCCTCCATTGTTAATATCCCTCCACCTGAAGACCCACTGGCACGCACTAACCGCCCCTTTGGTGGGATGATTCGGGACATAAAGAGGCGTTACCAATACTACAAGAGCGACATGACCGATGCTCTCAACGCCCAGGTCCTCGCGGCTGTTATTTTCATCTACTTTGCTGCTCTGTCTCCTGCCATCACTTTTGGAGGACTGTTAGGTTTGTATCATGACATATTCCTCCAGGTTTTCATTTATTCAGATTTATTTTAATATTTTGAATCCATAATGACACTTTGTAATGTATCTTGGCAGTAAGTGTGTGTATATATATATATATATATATATATATATATATATATATATATATACACACACACACACACACACACACACACACACACACACACACACACATACATATATATATAATTCAACTTAAAGTCCAAACTCTGGAGGTAATGACAGTAGTGTCATACTAAGTAGTAGTAGTAGAGTAGTAGTAGACTGATCCACTGATCCGAAGGTTGGCAGTTCAAATCCTCTTTACATAAAACAAAATTGGTTGAGCAGGTCCAGCTCTCACAGCTCAATGGTGTCATTGTGTCCTCGGGCAAGACACTTAACTCACCTGCCTTGAAGGTAAATGTGACCATGTACCATTTGCTTGATCGTTTTAACAATGGGCATGAAAGTGAACAAAGGATTTGACTGTTTGTTTTTGTGAAAAATGTTGATGTTTCTTCTCACAATACATTTAACACAAAATCTAATATTATGACATCCTTACTATGCAGCGGATAAGGTTGACAACATGATAGGTGTGCCTGAGCTCCTTATCTCCACCAGCATCCAGGGCATCATATTCTGTTTTGTGGCTGCTCAGCCAGTGCTGGTCATTGGCTTCTCCGGCCCTTTGTTGCTTTTCGAGGAGGCATTTTATGGAGTAAGTTACCACTATATTAATTGATCTTTATGAAAAAATGGACTGGTAAAACATCAGTATATTCCCTATTTCCAGTTTTGCCAAACCCAAGAAATTGAGTACATTGTTGGCAGAGTGTGGGTGGGCGTGTGGCTGATCTTCATTGTAGTGGCCATTGTGGCATTTGAGGGCAGCTTCCTGGTGCGTTACATCTCTCGCTTCACCCAAGAAATCTTTTCCATCCTTATCTCCCTCATCTTCATCTACGAGACCTTTGCCAAACTTGGAAGGGTAGCCCCATTGTCATTATACCATTCACAATTTTAATTAATTCAATTAATTTAACCCTATAACTACTAATCTTTGTTTTCATTTCTTCTGATTTGATTCTTACAGATCTTCAGATCTCATCCACTTATTCTAAATTACGACCATGTAAATTCAACTATAGAGAATCCCTGGCTCCCAAGAGTGGAGGAGACAGTCATCTTTGACAATGCCACTGGAAACACAACTATTATCATCAACACCATTAAGTCCCCGTATCCCAACACTGCACTTCTCTCCATGTTCCTCATGTTTGGATGTTTCTTTATCGCATTCTTCCTACGCCAGTTTAAAAATGGAACCTTTCTACCTGGGAGGGTAAATTTTTGTTTGCCAAATCCTTACCATTGGGGTCTATAGTGGAAGAACTTTCTGATTCCAAATGTAGAGTTCTCAGTTATTTTTCTCATAGAGTTTAAGCCATAACCCTAAAACAGATACTTTAAAATGTATTTCTTAAAGTTTTTAATTTCAGTCTAGTATTTTCTCATGTTTCCTTCATTCTTGTGTTATTTACGCTTTATAATTTAATAGAATTAAATTAATGAATCAATAAAATTAAAACTAGAATTCCCCATTTACTGTTGAGCTCCACTTCTAACATTAATCTAGTATTTGTAAACACACTTCATAGGTGAGGCGACTGCTTGGTGACTTTGGTGTGCCGATTGCCATTTTCCTTATGATTCTTGCGGACTACAACATTGAGGACACCTATACTCAGGTTAGCCTCTAATACAAAAGATCAGTGTGTTTTCCTGGCCTTGCAAGAGGATGATGAAACAAATGTATTTCTCCTGCAGAAACTGACTGTTCCCAAGGGTCTGATGGTGTCCAACCCGGCCAAAAGGGGGTGGCTGATCAACCCGTTTGGAGAGCACAAGCCATTTCCTGTTTGGGTCATGTTTGCATGCTGTGTCCCAGCATTACTCGTCTTTATTCTTATTTTTCTGGAGTCTCAGATTACAACGTAGGTGACATTTAAAATCATAAATAGATTGTGTTCTTAACTACATTTTAGCCTACATTTTAAAATAGATGGAGCAAGTCAGAATTTACCGGTAGAATGTACTGTTAAACTGACAGAATGCAGTTGTTTTTACCTGATTTATGATTATAATCTAATCCTATCCTCAGTGTTGGGAAGGTTACTTTTGAAATGTATTCCCCTACAGATTACAGATTACATACCTCAAAATGTAGTTTGTAACGTAATCCATCAAGTTATTTAAGGTGAGTAACGTAATCTGAATACTTTGGATTACTTGATATTGTCATGCTTTTGAAAACTACATGAATGTAGCAACCACATCCTGAAAATTCTTTGTTTGTTCTCGTCAAATTGTCTGTTGAGCCCAAGTCTCCATGAACAGGTAATTGTTTGCTGTAGAGAAGCAAAGATGAAGATCTTATCATGAGATGTTTTATCTGCTAAAAGACAAGAAAAAGTCCAGTCTTTCCTTAACCATATTAAAAATATTATTGATAGAGAAATTATTTTTATATGAGATCACTACTGCCTTACATTATGTCCATCCTACTGTTAGATCTCATATTGTTTAGTCTTGGTTTAGTCCTGGTTTAGTCCTGATTTTAGTCCTAATTTAGTCCTGGTTTTAGACCTGGTTTAGTCCTGGTTTTAGACCTGGTTTAGACCTGGTTTTAGTCCTAGTTTAGTCTTGGTTTTACACCTGGTTTAATCCTGGTTTTAATCCTGGTTTAGCCCAAAATGTGAAAACAAGAACATACCGCCATGTAATCCATTTATTTCAACAAAGTAACTATAATCCAATTACCACTCATTGAAACAGTAACTGTAACCGAATACAGTTACTCATAATTTGTACTCTGATTACATAATGCTGGTACATGTAATCTGTTACTCCCCAACACTATCTATTCTATCATGTTCTCGGTCTCTTTAAAGTAGACACTGCCTTGAAATTGTGAAACGAAATCCCAACATTGCGTTTATTCCCATAGCGTTATTGTGGCTTCTGCTCTACATCTAACATAAACCCAACATAATTACTTCTCCATTTCATCAGTTTACTTGTTTTGTTCTAGTCTAATCATCAGTAAACCAGAGAGGAAGATGGTGAAGGGTTCAGGCTTCCACTTTGACTTGCTTCTGTTGGTGGGAATGGGGGGCCTCGGTGCACTTTTCGGTGTGCCTTGGCTTAGCGCTGCCACAGTGCGCTCGGTCACCCATGCCAACGCTCTAACTGTCATGAGCAAAGGCCCGAAACCTGTGATTGAAAAGGTGATGGAGCAGAGGGTTAGTGGGATCCTGGTTGCATTATTGGTTGGTAAGTTATCTTTATCTTTCATACTTACTAAGGACATGAAACCTTTTTTTAATCTACGTTTATTTTTAGGCCTGTCTATTCTAATGGAGCCGATCTTAAAGTTGATCCCTATGGCTGCATTGTTTGGGATCTTCCTGTACATGGGAGTAACTTCTCTCAATGGGATACAGTTGTGGGACCGTATTCTGCTTCTCTTCATCCCAAAGAAATACCATCCAAATGAGCCTTATGCTACCCGAGTAAGTAGGACAATATAATTACTATATCGGCTTATCATTCAATATATGAAGAATGAAACAATACATTTTATTATATTGTGGATACATTTTCTTTGCAAAAGTGGGGAGATTTTTGTTATTTTAGTTGTAATATGCAAATATTTGAGCTGCAGAGAGCTGAAGAAGTAACTTTTATGGCTAATTATTGGTTCATTCTGCTATTTATTTGTTGTAGCTCAGCCCTTTTAAAATACTTTATATTTAAAAATGGTGTACTGGGGAATGGGATTATCCTGCTTTATTTTAATCATTTATCATAATATTGATCTGTAGCAATATATTGTGCTTCAAAATTTCTTATCATCAGGTCTACGAGTAAGAGCCCATTAAAACTGAATAACCCACATGTTTACATACAGGCAGTGACTGAGACATAATTTGGTCATATTACAGATAGACATCATGTCAACAAACTTAAGTGTGAATCTGAAACCATCTGTTGCAAGACAACCATTTGTTTTGTCTGTCTACATAACAAAATTTGGTCAGTTAGTACTTAATTTAACAAAAACAATTGGTTTGCTAAGCTGGTTCTCATTTGAGTCATCCCAAGATAAATAGTTTTCTGACTAAGAATATCTTTTATTTATTTTCATGCTAGTCTAAAGTACAATCTCTCTAAATATTTACTTCAGGTGAGCACAGGACGAATGCACTTCTTCACAGCCATCCAAGTGGTGTGTCTGGCCATTCTGTGGATTGTGAAGTCCAGCCCTCTGTCTCTCGCACTTCCCTTTATTCTCATCCTCACCATTCCACTACGAATGTTCATGACGGGCCGAATATTCACCGAGCTGGAGATGAAATGTGTAAGTTTGTGGTTTGTTAACCTTTATTAAACATAGTATGGTGATGCGGATATTAAGGGCTAATTGTTGTTGTTTTTCCAGTTGGATGCAGATGATGCCAAAGTTACTTTTGAGGAGGAGCCAGGACAAGATGTATACTGTGAATCTCAGATGCCATTGTAGATGACATGAAAACTGTCAGAGATGTATTTATTTGAAAAAAGTGTATTTATGTAAAGCTCAAATTAACCCCTGTCAGCCAAAATATTTTTATGAAAACGGTTGAACACTAAGTGTACTTTTAAAAACTTGAAATTATTTTTATTCTATTATTTTACTATATGGGGCAAAAAGCTTCATTTATTTATAAAAATTACCAATCTAAAAATGTTCTACAAAAGCATTAGTCATATAGCATGGCAATGTATGAAGTTTGTAAAATATACTAAATGTATGTATGTATAAAAAGACCAAAGACCCAATAAATCACTCTATACTCTTTATGCATTTTATTACATTTTATTCAATGCTTTTAAAGAATAATAGTGTGGATAGTTTAAATGCATAAAGCTGTTACTATTGTGTGTCTAGTTGTTGTGATAGATGTTACCTGTTGGACTGAACAGTTTTCTCTCAATTCCATAGCCTAAAGACAATACAGCTCTCTCTGGGTATAATGTGTAGCAATGTTTATGTGCAAAATATTCCCAAAAACAAAAGGAAGGAAAATGTAAAAGCTTTTATTACAGCATGGTTACTGAGATAAAGATAATTCTATTTATGCACAAAATGTTGCAACACATTATACCCAAAGGACATAATTAAAAGTAATTATATACCTCAAATAAAATGGTGTAAAAGATTAAATAAAACCAACAAGTGTTATAGACCTATGCACAAATTGTCAGTGAATATGAAAACTTTAAATAATTTATGTCACCACCATTGTTTCAACATGAAACAGACTGGATTGCAAATGAAACAAAAAATGAACACAACACTGAAATAATTAATTTAAATAATTTAAATGCCATCGGCAGCAAATAATATAATTTCAAAATATGAACTATTACTATGAACTCTGCCCTACAAAGGCAGAATGCCGTAACATCATGTTTGGTCATGAATGAGTTTTGGGGGTATTTGAGACCTCTTTTATCATGTGAATAAATATTGTGACAAGTATTGAGCTCAAAATTGACCTTTGACCGTTATTTAGCAGTTACTGTACTCTGCCTTTGTATCATGTGTCAAAAATAAGGAGTCGTACAAAGGCAAAAGGCTGTAACAGTGTATGTTTTGTTTGTGATTTATTTGCTAAATATATTTTATTTTAAAATCCAACCTCTCACCTCCTTTTTGTTGCAGCCTTGGCACAGGGTCTTAACACATTAAATAAATAAACCTTTGTTTTCAATTATACTTTAATTATCTTTAATGTGAATGTATTTCATGTATTTATTCATACTGTACATACTATACTGCAAAGTAAATTGTCTCTCAAAATGTTTAACTGTCTAAGTGTCGCCGCATGATCCTGATCAGCAACAGCAACTTCTATATAATTTCAAACAAACACCCAATGTCAGTTACTCCCTTTTGCCTTTGCACAACTCCTTATTTTTTGCACATGATACAAAGGTAGAGTACAGTAACTGCCAAATAAGGGTCAAAGGTAAATTTTGAGCTCAATATTTTTCGCATACAAATATTTCTTCATTATAGCAACTTGTTGTCAAATTTTTTGGAGCCCTACCTATTATACTTTTGTCTGGAAAAAACAAAAACTTTGAAGTCAGTTTCACACTCTGGCGAGTTAAAGACTTTTGTCTTTGTAGGGCAGAACTGAAGTGGGCTACTGAGCTTTTCTAAACTACTCCAGAAGGGGGTGGTATTGGCCTTTGGTTGTAAAAAACACGCACGGCGGAAACTGAAGAAGACCAACACAACAACATTGCATGTATGTTGGTTGCTTCGTTTTAATGTTTACTTTGCACCCTGTTTTACTTACATTTACTCATTAGGTTACTAAATCTACGACTGCTTTACTTTCAAATAATGGGAACAGCAGGTTCCGGTAAGTTGTGCAATGGAAAAAGATAATTATGCACGTGATTTCTCGCTATAATGGTATGTTTCGCGCAAATAGCTAAATGGTCTACAGATGACATCAGGACGCTTTTGGATGCAATGAGTAAATCCATAACAGAACGTGAAAAGGGCAAAATATGGAACGTCGGCCTGAAGACCTTTGACTGGAAAAAAGTTGCTTTTAGTGATTTCACTCCTGAAGAGTGCAATGCCAAGTGGCGAGAGATAATGCAGAAGGTAACACATACAGTTTCTTCCCACAGTGCAAGCCCAAAACATTTATTATAAGTGCTGTGTTGTTTTTCAGCTCAGAAAAATGAAAACCCTCTCTGAGCTCATTGTTGATGCACAAAATACTGTTAACAATGCAGAGGTACAGTGCCCATTAATATTATTACAGTTTACAATGTTATGACCTTAAGTGACATGGCTGCCATTCATCCGTACAGATTGAATTTCATAAGAAACCTGTGTCTGCAAATGCCTTATTTTTTGCGGAAAATAAGGAGCTATTTAAGAAAAAAAAACCTGATTTGAACAGCCGGGAGCTAATGAAGGTGGTAAATGATAGTTATAAGAAACTGCCACCTGAAAAAAAGGTAGGATTAGACATAAATATATGTTTAATGTATGTACATGTTTAACTGATTGTTACTATTCTTTTAAAGGAAAAATATTTGCAGAAAGTTGAGAAGGCAAAAGAAAAATACCAGGACAGCATAAAGAAAATGTATTAATTAAATCACACATAACTTTTATCTATAATATTGTTAGTATTAATATTATTAGTATTAGTATTATCTATTTCCTGTATAATAATCTTTAACTGTGTTTTTTAAAGGACTGTCCATTCAGAAGACCTAAAGAGAAAAAAGGATTCTGCAGTAAGTTCCTCCAAGAGCACTAATATAGAGCCCACTAAATGTTTATTAACAATTAACTTTGTAATATGATTTCCTTTAGATAGGAGCAAAGGAGCGTACAACGCTTCCAGTGTAAGTTTCAAAATACAGATTTTTTAACTTTTGTTTGTCCTTGAAGCTTTGCAATTGTACTATTAATCCGAAACATTACTTTACTTAACCTAAACACTACATGAAACATGACATTACTTTTTGTAAATGTATATCTGTTGGCAGGAACGGTTACAATCTCTTCTGCCGTGAACAGAAGTCTCTTCTTACTGGGGTACCAAACAGAGAGATAACATCTGTCTGGTCAAGTCGTTGGAAAGTACTGTCCAAGGAAGAGAAGGAAATGTATAGTAAGCGCTGCTTAGAGGTCTGTACACTCACTGGATCTGAAAATTAGAACATGAATTAGAAGTGAAATTTAAATTGTGTGTTTTAGATGAAGAGAGAGGCTAAAAATGTAAAGGTAAGAACTAGAATCTGAATCTAAAAATTAGAACATGAATTAGAAGTGAAATTTAAATTGTGTGTTTTAGATGAAGAGTGAAGCTAAAAATGTAAAGGTAAGAACTATTTATATCAGGGATCTCCAACCTTTTGCGTCTGGTGAGCTACCTTTACAAAATGAAAATGCCAGAGAGCCACTCATTTTAGCGGACGCAGGAAATTGAGTGGATGTAAGAGGGCAAGCCTTAGTGTTGTACAGTTAGATGCCTTTAAATACTGAACCATTATCCATTTATTAGAGCACAAAGTTCAAAATGACACATTTACAATGGTAATTCATCAAATCTGAGTTATTCAGTATAATAGGTAAAATTTAGAAATCACTTGGCCAGCTACTTGTAAGGGGTTGGAGACCACTGATTTAGATATTATAAGTCATGCTTTTAGCTTGAACAATATATTTACTCATTTGTATTTTCTACTTGTATTCGATAAAAGAGAGGAAAACAGACATTCCCTGGGGAGCCAAAAATGCCAGCTAGGTAACAGTTGAAATGTTCAGATTTCTTCTCCGACAAAATAAAATGCCTTGATAAGTTCATGCTTTCCCTGTGACAGATCTGCTTGTTCACTTTACTGCAAGAGCCAAATGAACAAAATGAAGGGGCAAGTAAAAAGGGCCAGGGACCGCTTTGCTATGGCCAGCCATGAGTTTAAGACTCTTTCCCAACAAGAGAAAGATCAATATCAAACAATAATTGAAAACAACTTTAGCATGTATGAAGAACAGCTCCAGAGATGGTTTAAGGTAAAATTAAATTTAAAAAAAAACACACCATTGTTTATTGTGATGCATGTTGTTACCAATGTAATGATTTTTTTTTTTTTTCTGTAGACATTGGAACCAAACCAACAGCAGGAATATTGTGAATGTAACCCAAGTGTAAGTGTTGTTTTCCAGCAAATCTGCCATTTTTATTGATTAAATATTTACATAATTACATCTCTTAACATTTGTTACAAATTTCAACCACAGAAAATAAAATACCTCAGAAGTAAAAGGCACTTGAGAACACCACTTCACCGTACATCGGTAAGTCACAGAGACACCAGAGTCATTTCATGTGAAAACAACAAATGCTTACTGATGACTGTCTTGGGTTTGTTGAAACACTGGTAGATTTTTAAATTATTTTTTGTTAACAGTATAATCATTAATGAAGCTGTGAAAAAACATGACCTCAGAAAAAAAAAAAAGATGGTCAAACAACATTTCTATTGATACTGAAACTAGTATTGAAACTAATGATATTAATGAACACAAATTTTTATATTTTGTAAATGGAATTAGAAATATTTTGCGTTTTATCAGAACTACAATATGTTTATGAAGATCCATGTATAAATCATACTAAGACATGCAGACAGGCCATCTTATTGTTTCTTCAGAGAAAATGAAATACCAAAATGATTGTGATTTGACTTTGTGATTTGACCCTTATATCTGAAAGATGGAAGGATTGAGACATAGAAAAGAGGGGAGAGTGGGAGAGGCACACAAAAAAGAAGACACATAATTAAATGATTTCTCTCCTCATGTATCTTGTGTGAATCAAAATACCCATTATTGAGTGCAAGTCTTTCTGTTCACCATATAGATTTAATAAAAGCTGCCTTGCCAATGAGTTTTTGATTGAGTTTTGAAAATATTTTTTAATGATCATAACACAAGTAAAATGAAAATGATCAACAATAATTGGGGCCCACAGACAGAGATTTCAAAATGTCAGTGCAAATGTCTTCCACATGTACTTATAAAGTCTTGTGTGGTCCAAGTTTCCTCACTGTGCCAAAGTGTTGAATGAACTGAGATGAGTAGAGCTTTTATTTTGTCTTACACAGGATTCAGAAGATGAAGACTGGGAAGATAGCAGCTGCAGTGACAATGATGATGATAACATTGATGAGGTTGGTAAAGTATTATACTGCATTTGTTAAATTTATAAACTATATAAAGGTCCATCAAATCCCTCGTATGCTCATGTACAGGTTGTCATACAAGACGAAGAAGAGGAAACCCCCATGTTTGATCTATTTTAAGAGAGAAGCAATAAGCAGAAACCTCTGGGTCCGAAGCTGATGCAGTGTGTTGGCCTTATGTATATTTATATTATATAATGACGTAGGTCTATTTTTCTTAATAATAATAAAAATAAAAAAACACGTTGTTTATTGCCTAAACACATTGAAATCTAACCAGCCTATGTGCATGTTATGTAATTAATAAGCCGATGGAGTTAGCGTTTTATTGTATGCGCTGAAAAGTAGCGTAATGTGTTGTACTGTTACGCAGTAAATAGCCAAATTGCTACACTTGATTCCGGAGGTGCTGAAGTTTGCAGTGTTGTGGAGAAAGCGCTTGGCGGCGAGAGCCCGTCTAGCGATCGATTACTACTGTCTGTCTGATGTAAAGATGGACGCCTGTCGAAATGGGTAAATAAACACAATAAGACATTAGCGTGGCTGAGATTGCGGTTATAATTAAAAAGTGCCTCTGAATGTAATGACGGTATAGTTTGGTCTAAAGTCGTACTTTGAGTGAGGAGCGGAGAGGCGCACAGCCGCAGTGCAGCAGCACCCCGGGACGAGTCTTTACTCAGCCCTATTTCTTCAAAGTCTCATTCGACTACAAATGTGTATCTTCTCGGGCCCACACCGGTAAGCGTTTTCATGGCCTGATTTATAACTATATCTAATTGAGTCTTTTAGCAGTGGATGCCGCCTCAAGGCGCACCTTGGCACCGTCTCCAGCCTATTCATAGCCACGCTCTTTGTTTTCCATAGGGTTTGGCTAAGCTACTTTGAAGTAACCGACTATGCTATGTGATCAATGAGAGTGCATGCTTCTGTCTGTTTTTGTCTCCTGAGTTACGGTTCATAACGTAACCAAGCAAATTAATGATCTTGGTGTCCATTTCACAGGATAGACTAAATGAGGGACTCCCCGGCACCGCTCGGCGTCTTGTAAGTGGCAGCATCCGCAGATACTTGCACTCGCACTGGTTTTATCTTGTGGTGATGTTTAATATGGCTCTATCTGCTGCAGACCTGTTCTGACCGATGCTTGCTGCGCTACAGCATGACCACAGCAGTCTCGGCTCATCTGCTACATCTGTCAAATGAAAATGGAGGAGGTTTCGGTGTCCAGCCTGGACAACAGCAAGCTGGAGGTAAAACATAATTACCTGGAGCCCCTGCAAATGAAACCCTGATTGGAGGATCCAAATCTGAGCCCTGACTATGTTCTGTTCTGCCTCTGCAGGGCCTGGCTCAGGACATCCTGTCTGACTTGGTGGAGGATGCCTGTCTGGGTCTGTGCTTTGAGGTCCACAGGGCAGTCAAACAGGGCTATTTTTTCCTGGATGACACAGACCAAGAAAGCATGCGGGACTTTGGTATGCATTTTGTTCAACCGAAAGGGGAAACAGCATTTTTGGTCCAACTAAACATTTGTCATTGTTTGTAGAAATTGTGGACCAGCCAGGCCTGGATGTGTTTGGCCAAGTGTTCAACCAGTGGAAAAACAAAGAATGTGTTTGTCCCAACTGTAATCGGAGCATTGCTGCCTCCAGGTTTGCTCCTCACCTGGAGAAATGTCTGGGAATGGGACGCAACAGCAGCCGTATAGCCAATCGCAGGTAGTCCATTTTGACTTTAGCCTATTTAGTAATGTCAGTATTTGCTGAATACAAGGTCAGTGGTACTGTATCTGTGTATATAATGATGATATAATGATTCCAATTGGATTCTGTCTGGAGATGGACTATATGCCAAAAAATCATATCACTTTTTTTTTAGAACCTAGATCATGATTTTAATCGTGATTCATGCCGTTGTTATCTCTTTATATGTCATAAATAAAGAATGAAAAGGTAACTAAAGCCATCTGCTTCTCCTGAGAGTTCACACTTTTAAGTGATGGGCTAAACCCATGTCACTCTCCTTCACAGAATTGTCACTGGTAACACTACCACCACCACCAACAACAACAATAACACAAACAACAAGTCTGAAAGTGACCAAGAGGATAATGATGATGTCAATGACAATGACTGGTCCTATGGGGCAGAAAAGAAGGGTAATGTGTGCTTTTATTTAAAGGCCTGAGTGTGGTGGGACTTATTGTAATCTCCTTTCTCCCCTCTTCTTTTCAGCCAAGAAAAGAAAATCTGAAAAGGTATTTCAAATTAAGATTCATCAACATATAATGGGTCAAATGGTCACAATCCACTAATGAGATTTTTTCCCTTTATTCTCAGAATCCAAACTCACCCAGAAGATCAAAATCTTTCAAACATAAGAGCAGTAAGTAATTTATTTATTTTTTGCTTTGTGGGGTAAATGTCAGTCCATTAATTTCAATGCCAAGCTCTCTGTCATTATAATGTGCAATGAATGGATGTAATCATGACTTCTCATTTTATGACCTGTCAGGTTTAATGGGCCCTAGACGTCGCATGGAAAATCAGGAAAGCCCTTGCATGATGATGAAAGAGGAGGCATTCCCTCAATAACACCTACACGCACAGGAAGACTGTAAAACTTCTGCCTTTATTTTAAGATGCAAGGACGTTTCAGTTATAGGGGACTTCTATAGTGTTTACTGATGAGCAAAAGCAGCCAGTCCTTTTCCATACTTGACAGTACTTGACAAAACCAATTCTCACTATTATTTTTGTTTTTAAATGATTTGCTGGAGTCCAAAGTATATGAATATTTCTACATGCTTTTTTACCGCACAAACTTGTCCAGTGGCCAAGCAGGACTTAAGCAATGTTGCTGCAACATTATGCATATATAAAAGTTAAGCATCAGGTGTCAGTAGGTCCTACTGTTGTTTTCAAGTAGATAAAAAAAATGTGTCACAATATTGGACAATCATGACAAAGTGGTTGTCTTTCATATTGGCAGTTTTTGGTATGCTTATGTGAAACCTGGGGATTATCTTGAGATAAGTAGGTTAAATGAAGGGGTAATTATAAGTGCTAGAAGCAGCTGTATTTGCTTCTGTTGATAAATCAGCTAATTTTCTAGCATTCTCTACTCATGTGTTTACATTGTAAAGGCTTATATAGGCTATATTCTTGGTGTGATGTGTATATATTACAATAGTCAAAAATGCTGCTATCATGACTGAGTGTATTTCATCTGTTTAGCGTAATAAATGATTTATCGGTCAAAAGCTCTCGTTCAATGTTACGTGCACAGTGCAAATTGCTAAATATCCTTTTAAGTTAATCTTTCCTGGCATGTAAACAACAGTATCACCGCAAGAGGGCGCTACTGTCACATAGACCAAACCGATGTTAAAAATATTCGCCTAAGCAATTGGGCTATATTTCATGCATTTTAGTAGCCTAATGTAAGAAAATATAGGTCATTTGCTGGTTGGGTATGGTTTATATCCTGTTTGGATATTATTTAGTAAGTTTATTGGAGTTATGTTTTAGAAAGGACAGTGTTAAGTTTCACTAGTGCTGGAGAAGCCAAGGTGGTGGTGCAAGATTTTATTAGTTCTGCAAATATGATTAATACGCTGAGAGAAGGTAACGAACTATCATTCAGCGGGCAAATTGATACCATAATCATCACAGATATAGCTGAGTTACTGAACTCGTCCCGCTTTGCATTCTTGCACCATAGGTGGTTTGAAGAGATGTCATAATAAAGGCGGTAACTCGCTTCTGCTTCGGAAAGGAGGCGTTTAGTGAGAAGGAAGCAACCCCGGACATGCACCGAGCTAACTCCAGCTAGCTTTTTGTTGACAGTGCGGCTGCTGTCAAACAGGACCTCCCTTTAAACGGATATTTTCTGTCACCTCGTATTTTTTATACTCGGTTTTCACGCGTGCTTGTGATTCATGTTACTTAAAATTTAGTTAAAAGTTTTTTTTTATTACTTTTGGAGCACATGTGGAGTTAAACTATGGCATCAAGAGGAGGCTTCCCGGGTCCGCAGATGAACCCAAACATGAATCCCATGAATGTGGCTCATGCAGCGGTTGTGAGGATGCCACAATCCCCGGCGGGATACCCCCGGAGCATGAACACCGCCCCGCAGTATCCCCAGGTACTTCAACTATCAAAATATCAAATATATGGGTGTTACAACATGTTCCTGCCGACTTCTTAATTTTATACATGTATCTAAAGATATAACTTCCGCATGTTGTGGTCTTCATTTCTTTGATTATTTTATAATATATAAGTTTGGATTTACACTGTTTGTCCCCGAGTAAAGTTTATGGATTGTGTAAAATACAGTCACGTGGTTACCCCTCAGCGTCCTTTCTGTCAGTTCAGTTTTCTGAAAACAAAAGTTTTATCGTCTGCGCCATCTGTCAGCGCTTAGCACGCATGGCTTTATCCCGGTTTGACACCATCTGTAGCGTCATGTCTTTCACTAACTTTTTCTTGTTTGATGTGCATAATACACATAATTGTGAACTATTATGTATGCTTTTGTTATTGGAAATGTATTCCATGTAGTAGATTCTGTAACTCAAAGGCTAATATATTAAAGCATGTGTCACAACTATTTTATACTTTATCAATAATGTCATGTTAATCAGTGATAGTTAATTTTTTTTATTTCAGTCTACTTGTCAAATAGCACTGTTCCTTCTTTTGCTCAGCGCCCAGGGATGCCACCCAGTGGAGTCAGGGGCCATATGGGGTCAATGGGGGGTCAACTCCCGGGTCCTTCTTTTGGAGGTGGGAACATGTCCATGCGTCCTGGAATGGGACCCCCATCTATGGACCCCTCAAGGAAACGTTTTCTACAACTTCAGCATCAGCCACAACAAGATTCTGTGGGAGGCCCAAGGCGTGCAGGGTAAGCTCTAAACAAAGGAGTGTGAGTTAAATGAAATGGGTTTCACGACATTCTAAGGTACTTTAAGCAGCATCAGTAGAAGAAATTACTAATTATTTTATATTCTGTAGGTGAGATGTGTGTTTTATCTTGCTGTTGTTGATTACATGTCTGAAAACAAAATAAAATGCTGTCACTATTTTTTCTTCTAGTCACTGTTCATGCAGCAACACTCACAAACACGAGAATAGGGCAATCTCATGACCCTGTTTTCAAAACACTCATTTGTCTGCTCTATATTATGACTTTGTGGTGTTACTGTATTCATAAATGTGAAATATTTTAACTGAAGGCGATATTTGCTGAGTTTTCGTGTAGGATTATTTAAATTTCCAGAGTACTGTGATTTAGACGTGATTACAGTGAAGTGCCTAATTCACTTAAAGGACACAATGTCCTCTTCTTTGAGTAGTGGCTAAAAAGAAGCTTGAGATGGTCATTTTAAAGTGATACAGCGATCTACTGTAATTGAATGCAATACCAGTAGTAGAAATCTTCGTAAAATGTCTCATAATTGTGTGATGTGATACTGTATGTAACCATTACTAACAAGATGGTTAGTTGTGTGCCCCCTTTAAAAGTGTGTGTATATTTGTAGAGCCAAAAGACGTAAGATGGCTGACAAGGTCCTCCCTCAGAGGGTAAAAAAGTACAGTTGCAAAATAACCTTGGTTATGTATTTTACCTTTTGCTTAAAAAGAGATGGTGTTGTTTTAGATCAGAGACCTTGTTCCTGAGTCCCAGGCGTATATGGATCTGCTGGCCTTTGAAAGAAAACTTGATCAAACCATAGCTCGAAAACGGATGGAGATTCAAGAGGCCATCAAGAAACCCATCATGGTAGCACATTGTACATTTATGAAAGGGTCTTAAGAATTACAGTTTACTTTTATTTCTGTAAGTGAAATATTTTCAATGATGCTGAATTATTTTTATAACCAGCAAAAGCGCAAACTCAGGATCTACATTTCAAATACATACACCCCTAGTAAGCCTGAGGGTGAGGAAGCTGAGAAAGTGTCCTCATGGGAGCTCCGGGTGGAAGGCAAACTTCTGGAAGAGGTAAAAGTTAACTGACTGTTTTCAGACTGTTAACTGTAATGATGTTGTGTGATGATGGTGGCAGGAGAATGTGTCTCCCAATTGCAAAGCATTCTGGGAAAGTGCTTTGCTGGCTGACTCAGCATGAGAAATATTATACATCCATCCAAACAAGAAAATCAACTCACATTATAGACTTTACAGAACTTGCAGAACTATAGGATGTGTTGACGTCATCTGAAATCCACCAATAGTCCCTTTAAGCCAGCGCCTCTGATCATGTTTCTAACCTCACTTGGCCCGTCTCAAAGCATGCAACCAGATGTGTGTTACTGCTCTCCCCTCTGCTCGCCAAAGCCCTTGCACAAGCCTCTTTTTCAAATGAGGAATTGAAACCACTGGCCGTCGCATACCAAGAGCTGACATGCTTTCCCTCCATCAATTGTAGATCTCCTCATTGTGGTGTTTGGGGCCACATGAAGGAGGATTCCTGCTGTTAATTTGTCTCCTGCCTCTTTTGGTCCAAGCGTGCGGAGGAGGGTTGAAGGGTGAGGAGAGAAACAGGGATGTTTGAGAGGAGTGGGAAGGCTCATATTGTGCAAACTCCCAGGGCTTGGGAGAGGGTGGGGTGCTACAGGCCTTTCGAGTTGTCTACAGTTAAGTACACCTCCCCCATTGTGGTCATGGTTAAACAATGCAGTAACTGAAAAAAACAATACATAGCTTTTGTTTCATTTGTCTCATGTTTTAATTTTTTCTTGATTTATTTATATATTGATTATTTATACTACCATTATATATTCATATATTTTCATTGCATATGTTTATTATTATTATTTTTGGCACTAACATATTTGTCATTTATACCACTGTTTTGTATTTTCAGACCGGAAAACAGAAGAGAAAGTTCTCGTCCTTCTTCAAGAGTTTGGTGATTGAGTTGGATAAAGAACTCTATGGACCAGACAATCACTTGGTGGAGGTATGAGAGCTTTGCACAGTCATGTGATGTGGTCCCCTCACAGTATATCACACGCCAGGCCAGAACACTTCATCTGCTGCAGTCTGGTTCAGCTGCAATCACTAAAGTTTTGGAAACGGTCCTTTGTTTCTTTGAAAAGGGAGACGATCAAAAGCCGTAGGTTGGGCATGGAAAACATTGCTTTAATCCAAGCACTTAATCATTGACAATGAGCATTAAACCTTCTGCACACACTTACACACTTGAACTAAAACAGATTTTAAACTAAAAGATGTTTTTGCTGTTTCAGTGGCACAGGATGCCAACAACTCAGGAAACGGATGGTTTTCAGGTCAAACGACCTGGAGATGTGAATGTCAAATGCACTCTTCTCCTTATGCTTGACCACCAGGTAGGTTCCTGAATACAATATATATTTGTATTAACAGGATTATCTGTTTACAGTGGAAAAGTGACAGTTAAATTCAACTCAACTTTAACTTCCTTCGACCTAGCCCCCTCAGTACAAACTTGACCCACGTCTGGCTCGTCTGCTGGGCGTGCACACACAGACTCGGGCCAGCATCATGCAGGCTCTTTGGCTTTATATCAAAAACAACAAACTGCAGGACAGCCATGAGAAGGAATACATCAACTGCAACCGCTATTTCAGACAGGTATTTAGATGACTACACAGCAGTTCAAAATGTATAAAACTCAACAGCCTCTTGACTTGCGAAATAACGTGCATTGAGTAATCCAAATAAAAATTTTGTTTGTTAAACAGATTTTTGGTTGTCATCGCATGAGGTTCTCAGAGATTCCTATGAAACTTGCAAGCCTTTTGCAGCACCCAGATCCAATCATTATCAATCACATGATCAGGTATAAATAGTCATTAATCTTGTGTGTTTGAAGTACTGGCTTGTTGCTCTATATATTGACATAAAGTATATGCTGATGGAGTCTTGGTCTTGCTCCTGTTTCCTCTGAGTAGTGTGGACCCGACAGATCAGAAGAAGACTGCGTGCTATGACATTGATGTGGAAGTGGATGACCCGCTGAAGAGCCAGATGAATAGCTTCTTATCCTCCACCACAAACCAACAGGAGATTGCAGCTCTGGAGATGAAGGTACAAACTCTGAAAATCTATGCTGAAACTTTTTTCCAACTGAAAAACTGAAGTTTTGACAAATTCTCTTCTGTTGCAGATCCATGAGACGATAGAGTATATAAATCAATTAAAAACAGAGAGGGATTTCATGTTAAGCTTCAGCAATAATCCACAGGAGTTCATACAGGATTGGCTCAAATCACAGAGCAGAGATCTTAAGGTTTGTGCAATATCAGTGATTATTAATTTTTTTTATTTACATGTGTCCTTAATTATTTCTTTCTGACGCAGCTAATGACTGATGTGACTGGAAATCCTGAGGAGGAGAGAAGGGCAGAGTTTTATCAAGAAGCCTGGGTCCCAGAAGCTGTTGGCCGATACGTTTACTCAAAAGTAATAACATCTAATAGGCAATTGTTTAATTTCATTTTTAATGTTGATTCAATTACCACACTTGGCACTGCCTTATAGTTGCTGTGTCATGAGGCAAGGCACCCACTTTATACCCACCATATATGAATGTGTCAGAAAAAAAGCTTACTTTCAATGCACTTTGATGCCTTTTAATCCACTTTAAATGTGTGTATACTTCTGGTTATATTTTGTAGGTGCAGCAGAGACGTCAGGAGCTGGAGCAGGTGTTGGGGATCCGCCTTACCTAAAGACACAGATGTTGAATCTAAATCTTACTTGTGCTAAAAAGCTTGATCAGAATCAAGTGGATGTTGCAGGTTAGGAGTCTAAAAGCCATCTTTGTAAATATGATAAACTGGTATAACTGGTGCTTTGTTTGTTTTAAAATCTAAATTTTATTGGACCAAAGTGCAAGTGTTTATGGTCAATAATTGTTATTCTTGCTTAGTTGTTTTGTACTTAAATTGTACAAATTGCAGCATTGATTTTGTTAAATATGATGTGAATGATCCATCTCTAAACCATAGGCATTGGTGCTATTTAACCTTTTTAACTGGTTGTGGATGGTTGATTTCTTGTATTGTTTCTTTGTTTTGTTTAATGTTTCTCTTCCATCTAAAATCTTCTATTGACCTGTAAAATGCTTTAATCTTTTTCCTTCTTGTATTTGGCCATTTAAGTAATCAATGGCCTTTATACTGTGAAGATTAACAGAAAAGAGATATGTCTTATTAATAATGGCAGCAAATATATATATTTTTATTGGGTAACTTGAATGCTTTTGTACAGGGCTTATATGGGATCTTCTGAACATTCCAGGTTAACATATTGTGTAACTTTCTTCACGTTTTTGTTCATCTGCATGTTTTATAATGACAATCAAAGAGCCATATATTTTATATATCTGGATTTTTACAATAAACATTTACCATTATTCACTGTTTTCTATTACTTTAAAATGTGATAGTCAGGGATTAGTAATTTAGTGCAGGGTAGGTTCTTGTACAGAGTGATGCTGCCATAAGGGTTTGCAAGTTTGGGCTGGTCTAAAAGCTTGCTTTTAACTGCTGTGTTACAACAGGTATATCAGGTCTCGAAACTGAACTGAACTTTACCGCTACTCAAATAGCTGCAAGTGTAACCCAATGTGCTCTTACCATTTGGAAATATGCAAAATGGAACTTGCAAACACTGCTATACGGTTTTAGCACTAAAATTATTAATTAAAATAGGCTATGAGTGACCTTGTAGGAAAATGAATGTTTTCAAACATGTTGTGACTAAATGATATAGTGATTTATTATTTTATATAGTGATTTTCTTAATAACTGATAACCCATTTAGAATATGTGGAAAGTAAAAAGTACATGAATTTCAAAGCCTAAGTATGCCACTAGATGGCTCTTTGAGTCGCCAGAATAAAAAAAAAAAAAAAACGGAAGTTGGCTGGGTTGCAAACGGAAGTTAAAAAAGTCAAGATGGAGGTGGACGGTGTCGATCATGTAGGTATTTTTTTCTGTTGCTTTAGCTCTTTTAGTGTTAAATTATACGCGAAAGTGACATTTAACATAAAAATGAAACCCGCTAGACGTTGATTTCTGGTGTATTTTAATAGATTCCCATTAGTATTTCACATATTCTGGTCACGCTAAATCCCTTCAATGAATGCCTCGTTCACTACTGGTTTGCTGTCTCATTGTAGCTTGAGCAGCTAACGCTAAACAGCACTGTTGACATTATGCTGTTTTAAACAACATTGATTGTCGGGCTTTATTCTCGTTCACACTCCATACAACAACAACCAAAACTATGACTGCACCTTGCACGGCAATAATACTCTATATCCTGTGCTTCGTCAATCACAAAGAAAACATTCTAGCTACATACATAGTTCTGACATGTTGCGTGATACTTTTGTATTTCATGGATTTTATATGTATGAAGTTAGTGTTTTATAGATCTCACTGGACTGTACATAAATTATGTCATTAAACTTGTTTTCAAAGAAGTATATTGATTTCCTGTCTGACCATTTTCTTGAATGTAAGCAGTAGCCTTGGTGTAAAACTCTTGATTCTTTTCCCCTTTTTCCAGATGGAAATGGGCGATAATAAAGGTGGAACAGGACTTAGACAGTACTATTTATCAAAGATTGAAGAATTACAGGTAATTATTTTGTTTTGGCAGCTTAAATATATGTTGTTCTAATACATGTTTTGTTTTCTTTTGTTTGAACAGTTGACAGTAAACGATAAGAGCCAGAATTTGAGACGTCTACAGGCCCAACGAAATGAGCTCAACGCCAAAGGTATATTTTGCTTTATAGTTGATAAAATTGAAATGCTAGTAGTCCGTTTTAATAAAGTGTTTTGTTCTTTGTGGTCTAGTACGTCTCCTTCGTGAGGAGTTGCAGCTTCTGCAGGAGCAGGGCTCATATGTCGGCGAAGTTGTGCGGGTCATGGACAAAAAGAAAGTGTTGGTAAAGGTAGGATGTGATTTTCTTTTTTAAAATTATTTAGTTTTGTCTGATCCTAAATTATATAGTATAATAATATTACATTTCCAGGTACATCCAGAAGGCAAATTTGTTGTGGATGTGGACAAAAACATCGACATAAATGATGTAAGTTTTTTTTTTTTAATTATCATATTTTAACATGAACATGTTTTAATAATTGAACATTGACTAGATAGTATTGTATATTTTTTGTTATAGGTAACTCCAAACTGTCGTGTGGCTCTGCGTAATGACAGCTACACTTTGCACAAGATACTGCCAAACAAGGTGGACCCTCTTGTGTCCCTCATGATGGTGGAGAAGGTACCGGACTCGACCTATGAAATGATCGGAGGACTAGATAAGCAAATCAAGGAAATCAAAGAAGTGATTGAACTTCCTGTCAAGCACCCTGAGCTTTTTGAAGCTTTGGGAATTGCTCAACCCAAGGTATGTCATATATATCTTCCGCTTAATCCCTAAGAGAGTGTTTGAAGAGAACAAAAATGTACTATCTTGGTTGTGCAGGGTGTGCTGTTGTATGGACCTCCTGGAACTGGGAAGACCTTACTGGCCAGAGCTGTGGCTCATCACACTGACTGCACCTTCATCAGAGTGTCTGGCTCAGAGCTGGTTCAGAAATTTATTGGAGAAGGTAAGATATGCCTAATAGTGTGTTTCTATATTATTTATCTGCTTTTTTTTATATCCTTTTCTTCTTTGTTTGTAGGTGCCCGTATGGTGCGTGAGCTGTTTGTCATGGCCAGAGAGCATGCTCCATCTATCATATTCATGGATGAGATTGACTCCATTGGTTCATCTCGTCTTGAAGGGGGCTCAGGTGGAGACAGTGAGGTTCAGAGGACAATGCTGGAGCTACTCAATCAGCTGGACGGATTTGAAGCCACTAAAAATATCAAGGTATTCCCTCTCAAGTACAAATTGTTACATATTTTAAATTTGTCTTCAATGAAAATTAAAACCCATTTTCCTTTTAAAGGTCATTATGGCAACCAACCGAATTGACATCTTGGACTCTGCCTTGCTAAGGCCTGGAAGAATTGACAGGAAGATTGAATTTCCTCCTCCTAATGAAGAGGTAAAAAGGGGGAACTCAAAGCACTTATTATGTGTTTTAAAATTAAATAAAGTTATGAAAGGGACAATTGGAAAAAAAAACAAATTTTCTCCCTCTTTTTACCAGGCCCGTCTTGACATTTTGAAGATTCACTCCAGAAAGATGAACCTCACTCGTGGCATCAACCTGAGGAAGATCGCAGAGTTGATGCCTGGAGCATCTGGAGCTGAAGTTAAAGTAAAAAGAAATTGTACAAAATGTGTAAAATGCTTGCCTTTGAATGTGCTCTTAATTGGTGCTCTATTATAGGGTGTATGCACAGAAGCAGGAATGTACGCCCTGAGAGAACGAAGAGTGCATGTAACCCAGGAGGACTTTGAGATGGCTGTGGCAAAGGCATGTTAAATTATTTCAGTTGTAATATAATGTATAATTTGAAGTGTTTCTGGTACTAATTTTCTTAATGTGTTTTCAGGTGATGCAAAAAGACAGTGAGAAGAACATGTCCATTAAGAAGTTGTGGAAATAGTGCACTTGGACACACAGCAAAACACACACTTATGTATATTTTTCCTCTTTGTTTATGGTTTGATTTATAACTGTCATTCATAAGTCATTCAAAAATAAAATGTTTTCCCCAAGTAAAAAGCACTGAAGTCATTATTACTTTTTTCTGTTCACTTCCTTTTGATTTTATTTACCATCAACACTTTGTACAATATGGCACATTTCATTTTAGCTGGTTATGTGAACATTGATCTTGCACTGTACATATCTACTGCATGCATGAACCATGTGTCTGGCACAAGCTGCTCCTACTCAGGGTGGATACATTTCAGCACTATTTTTATTCACAACACCAATCCTTGCTAGTTGTTTACACAAATAAAATAGCGGGTAGAATAAAGCGTATTGTCATTAGTACATCTCGGTGCCCTTTAATGTTGGCACCTTTGAAGATCGTGGGCAATAAAAATGGATAAAAATAAGATAATTGCTAAAAACAAAATGTAAAAAGAAAAAAATATGCTTCAAATTATGGACCCATTTTGAATTCTTTTTGGACACAATATGTATGTTTTTTTTTCTATTCAATCTTAGTGTCAAGAAAGAAACTTTTTCTGTCATAGAAAAATACCAATTGTAAGTAAACTGGCGAGCGAGTTTTTGTTGTATATCCCAAGTAACTGGAGGTGAAAATTGTCCTGGAGGGCCAAAAAATCCCATAAATCACTACTGAAAGTGAATTGTGTGTTGGTGTCAGAAAGTCTTAAATTACAACACAAAGTCTCACATGACTGATTTAAATCAGAGGTGCCGATATCAGCACTGTAACGGTCTATTTTGGCACAAATTGAGCAATGGGAGCATGGAGGGGCTAGCTCTGGAGCCAGGACACAGGCACCCACTGTGGCTCCCTCTGCACCCGCTCCATCACAACCTGCAGCTCAATCAAGGCACTCATAGCATCCTCCTTCAACAGAACATAGTCCACCCAATGACCATAGCATTCGTCAATGAGGTCAGCTGACTGTTTCATCTCCATCAGGTCCTCTTCCTTTAGAAACACAAAGAGCCATTATGGAGGAGTGAGCAACCAGAGTTATGTTCTGGTACATTTTATAGTTAAAATTTTTACCGTTATTCCAGCAGAAAGAGAAGAAGTGGAGCCGAGGAGTTTCCTTTGACTATCAAGGATACGAGGTCTGACAAATATGACATACGGCTTGAACTCAGCTGTCCGTAGTGTTTTTAATGCCTAAATATAATTTATAACATGAAAACAATAAATGTTGGCATACACATGATTCAACTAAAGTAAGTTTTTAAAGAGCCAAACTGAGCCCATTCATAGTACAGTTCAATAAAGAGTCTGCCTGAATTACAAACCTCAGGTTGTACATCCACCAGACAGACTTTGTTATGAGCCAGAACTCTGTGGATGGACTCTAAACTGGTGCCGTAGAGATTGTCTTTATACTCCCCATATTCAATAAATCTGCAATACAACAAAACACCAGTGTATGAAAGCAGATGGGTGAACACAGTGTTAATGAAAAGCTCTTATTTTCCTTAAATCCTGCATTGTAAACCATCTGCTGCTGTTATTTGATTGATGAAAAAGATGATGCTTCCACACTCACTTGGCGCTCTGGATGTCATCCTCGAATGTTGCTCTGCTGATGAAGTGGTACTCCACTCCTTCTCTCTCCTGACTCCTTCTGGCTCGAGTGGTGTCTAACCCACAGTGGTGATTAAAACAGAATTAATAATACATAGGTTCTATATCTTAAATAATATATTATAGTATAATTCAATTCCAGCTAACCTGTTTAATCTTATAAGCTGTTTACATTAATAGTGGTAAAGTGCCATCTGAGAGTGCAATGTTTGAAAAATAGATTAATTCTAATCCTGTAGATTACACAGCCACATCTGTCTCTGTACATCTACACAGTGAGTTTGAGTCAGATTATAGGGGCGGGAAAAGGTAATGTAAACTAAACCAATAAGAGACTTACGTGGCACAGCCAGGCCGTAGCGCCTGGGATTTTCAGCTATGACCTTCTGTTTGAGCTCAGTGGTTCGCGCTCCCAGTGAACCTGCCATAACAAAAGAATGAACAGATTATGGATTAGGCTGCTTACACTATGAAGTACTAGTTTTATGATATCTCACCAATGAGCACTATGAGGCGGGGGTTCTCGTCCGAGCGTGGCAGATACTGTGTAACCTCCTCATAAATCAGGAAGTTTAGGTGATTGGCCTCTGGAGTGTGGGCATCTCCCGATGAAGCCTGACGATCCTTCTTTAGGCGTAGACTTCTCCTCAGGCTGGCTGTGCTCACACATCCACAGAAAATTATCCACTATGTCACTTATCTACACTAGTGGTATTTTATTGCTCCTGTATAATACAAACTATCCTCCCATGTCAAGTACAAATGATTACCTGAAGAAAAATCCCATGACAGAGAATGGCCACAGAAGGCAGCAGTTGTCTTACTCTTGGGAGAAACTACAGCTCATATTAAACTCATATTAGACCAATTCGTTAAGCATCTGAATCAACTGATCAACGCAGTATATATATACTACAATATATAGAAAGAGAAGCTACAGAGCCATGCATCTACACCTTACAAAGCAACAAATAGCAATATGGACCATTACATGACCACAAAGCTAAAGCTGACTTCCATACTGAGCCACAAAATGTGTCATACAAAACGCCAAACAAACAATAGCGTGGATGTGAGACAAAGAAGTGGCTGAACAGCTTCACCAATGTTTCACTATGAAGCTCATAAACAACAAAAGAACCAGCAGCAACAATACAAGACTCACTACATTTACAGTAACTTATAGCATCTGCTCTGATGAATATAAGCACTGATAACATCCAATAATACATGTGACTAAATCACTTTTATTTAATTCAATTATAGGCTGAAACAAAAGTATACTAAAGTATGGGAATGGTATTCACATAGCACTCAGTCTGGTTCAGTATCTCAATAAATGTGGCACACACAAACAGCAGCAGTTAATGAAGCCATACTTATCATGGGCAAAACACTGGCCTCCTCACCTAAGTCCTTCCCATTCAGAACAGCCTCACAGTCACAGTCCTCTGTGGGAGACAAACAAGGACATTGTCAAAACAGAGCACAGTGCAGGAAATAAATTCACTGCACAATGTGCAACATCAAAATGATCCATTATGATTTTAGTCAAACAACTCTAAACACTGGCTGTGGGGTCTGGGGATGAAAGCAAAGAGTTGAATAATGAGCTTGTTCTGTACTCCATATCTGAAGACTTACCTCTATCGGCCTGATCGTCTGAGGCAAGCATGATGACAAATGACAGAAATATTTGTGAAACAGGAGCATAATTTAAATAACATTAAAATTCTTACACTTTTGGGAGTGCATCCCAATCTTTGCTACAACTATCAAGACACCGCAGTATTTCCTGGAGATATCAAATATGTTCATATTATTGTTGTTAGGATTTGTGTTTTTGTTCTCTCCCCCTCCCTTTTCTGTTTCAGAGCTTGAGTGTGGCAGGGGGCATGGCTGGCTTTTTCCGGAGCAGATGAGACACACCTGCAATCAATCCCTTCATCTACCTCAGTATTTAGTCCTGGTCTTCTCATCACCACTTTGCCAGATAATTCTGTCCTGTTCTGTAGCGTGACCAGGCTCTTGGATTTATTCCCGTCTTGCTTATTGTTTGCCCTGGATTTACCTACTCCTGTTTTCTCCCAGGTGTCTCCTGGTGGTCTGCCGTTGCCTCCGGAGAAGTTGGCCAGCTCCCTGCTTCCTCAGCCTGCCTTCGTTTGTACAATAAACTGCTTAAACTTGACTGTGTTCTGATTCTGCTTTGGGGTCCCTCTTCCCCCACCTTAACAATTGTCTTCAGAAAAATGAACCTTTCTTAAATCTAATCTGGATCAAATTTTTAGATCCAACTCAAAAAGAAACTGTATCTTTTGAGAGATTAACCACAGTCTTCTCTCATAATCTCATCTGTTGTTTCTTGGATAGATGAGATTACAATGTGCTCTGAGCCCCAGAGCGTGGTTTGGTGATTGTACATTATAAATTGTCTTACATGTGGGGACTTTGATTGAGTTGGGATGAGGAAAAGAACCCATTTTCATCCTGTATCTCAAACGCCTGAGGGAGAAAAAGAAAACCATCCAATTTAAAACCAAACCAATTTATGTATTTTTAAAAATTTAGATTTAAGTTCGATATAACAGTACCTATCCTGAAACTGAGTTGAGGGAATAAGAGCAGCACGTAGGTTACTGTCACCAACTTTCTTGGCCTGCCACCAGGTGGTGTCCTCCTGGCTCACCACCTGCAGAATGTCCCCTCTCTTAAAAGGGAGTCCTGCCTCTTGGCATGGGGTGGCTTTGTCCTCAAACGGAGTGTAGTCAAACAGAGCTCGAAGGTAAACCTAAAAGATATATACTTTTATTGATCCTTAGTAGGAAACAAACTGGATTTAAAGCAAACTAAAGATTTAATAAAAATGATGCCGACCCTACTCTCCTTAAGTCGATCCTCTTCTGCTACAGCTGGTACAATCTTCAATGTGATAGTTCCTTGGGACTGGGACTACGAAATCGCAATGTAACAGAGTATATGTGAGTAAAAGTGTATATATAAACAGCTCTTTTCTATGTTTCTAGCGTATTTACCAGTATCTGGCTAATTTCGTCTGGTCGTCTGTGGGTGATGACCTTCCCATTTACTTCTCGAAGTTCGTCTCCTACATGCACCAGACCTGGAACAACAATAATCACAACAAGATAATAATGAAAAGTGAAAATAATATAGATTAGCGTATACAAAACATCACCATGGAAACCACAAGCACAAGCAACCTGTAATCTTAAAATATACAATCTCAAAGCACTAATCTCAAGAACTTGATCTCTTGTTGACAGTTCCAGGGGTTACACAGCGTAATCCTCTGTCAGTAGTACAAGAGACAGTGCAGTGTAGAACTGCTATACATGCTTATAGTTTATTCACCGCTTCAGTTTGCTCTTAATAAACCATTATTCAGAGCATATAATATTATGTAATGAGTTGTCAACAGTAGTATTTTTTCATCACTTTGAAACGCATAAATGAACAAAAACTTAAATAAAAATAAAAAATCACCACTGCGATCAGCTGCTCCTCCTCTCATGATTCGGGCCACTATTACAGCCCCAGTGGCCTCATCTCTGCGAATAGTGGCACCCTGATTAAAAACAAAAATGTTATGAAGGTGATCAATCCAAGTCCTAACAACAAACTGATACATGTCTGTAGTTTGGTTGTGAGAAAGCAATTATCCCCTTTATGTATGTGCAATTACGAATACTTTACTACTCACTACTATATTACTACTCACCAGAGGCTCCTTGTTTTTGACCAAACGGACAATTTTCACAGACTCCTCCTCAAAGTCATCGTTCAACTCTTCAGGGAGAGGGGGCAGCACTGGGTCAAAGTTTTTCTGGGCCACTGTGTCATGAGCTGACAGCACCGCCTGTGGTAAATATAGACAACATATTGTTAGTATAGTCCATAAAAACTAGGATTAATTAAAAATGGGAAATGTTTAAATGTTTTATCTATTTCACACAGCAAGTATTCTACTCAGTCAGCATATGGTAAACAAGATCATATAAGGGAAGTCCCTTATTACATAAGTCTAAACAATCCATCTAAACAATTCCAATCATACTGTTAATATGGACAGTATGGATATTTTGAATCTATATTTTGATACAATATCCAAAATTTGTCTTGCTGCTGTGGCCAATAAAATAAGATAATATTAAAATCCATAACAAGACCCACAAATGTATGTTAAAGTACAGTAAAATTCGCACATTTAAAAACAATAAAATGTATTTATTTGTAATAATGTATGTATTGTTTAAACATGCAGCCATGTTTTTTGCCCAGTTGCTCCTTTATTTAAGACAAATCTGATTCACAAATTGGAAATGAGACATAAGCACACATATACTGGGGAAATAATATCACCCTCAATATTATAAAACCTCCAATTTCACCAATGCCAATACTGGCACTGTCTCAAGCTGTACCTTGAGGTGAGGAGCACTGAGAAGTAGGAGCAGCTCTCTTTCATCATTGTCCAGAGGTCCGTTCTGGAGATCTTCAGTCAGCTGCAGATTTGATTAAGATTATTATTACAGTGTTGACTTACTATGATCACTAAATTGACTACACTTACATCTTCTGCCAGGCAGGAGGCACTGTCCAAGACTGGTTCTGGACCAAGTTTTTCATACTGCTTTAATTTTTCATGGATCTGTAAAAACAGGCAACATTAATGATAAAGTAGGTCTAAAGTGGTTCTCAAGATGCTGTGTTACCACTGTGAGTCGAGGAAACATGATTAGACCTGATTTAGTCCTGGGTTGTTTTAGATGGGTTTGCTGTACCTTCATAAGATAAGCAAGGCTCTTTTCACTTAAAACATCTTTGAGGAAGGACAGATCTTCTTTGTGTCTGGCATCGGGGTGGAGCTGAGAGGTGAGAACAGCCAGTGTCTCGTGCAGCCCTGAAAAATATCAACATTCAACAGAGGTACAGCTACTAAACACGACATCTGGACCTAAGCAGCCATAACAGGCCAAGTAACAGTAATGCATGCTTGAAATATTGCCCCATGTATTATTCATAGGGTTATAAACTGCAGCAGAGAGGACTAAAGAGCCTGGCTGTACCTGTGGTTGCATGCACAACAGGCATGGCTTCAATCATTCAGAGCAATAGGAAAAACCAGGAGAGGGAAAATGACCACAACAGTTGAAGAATGGTGTTCTTCTCTGCAGAAGATTTAAAAAGCCATGTGGTTCTGAAAAATAAAGCACAAAACACCAACACTGTTTTAGATGAGAGTTCAATTACAGTGTAGGTGGTAGAATATGAATGCAACTGCTTATCCTTTGTTAATTTTTCCATTTCCTAGCAATGAAAATGTGCATGACAATAAGGACAAGATACTTTGGTCAGACATGATCAAAAGCAGACTACTTCATGTGTACAAGGATTGTCAGAAGTACTGAAAATCAGATACTAATCAATACTATAGCCAAAGCGAAGATAGATACTCACGAGAAAGTATCAATACTGCAAAAAATCGGATTAAGAGGATGAAATTTCAAATTTTCTGAACTGTTTTAGTCTGATTTTAAGCTTAATCAGAACTAGTGCAAGATCTCATGAATAATAAAGTACTATTATTTTGTAAGAAATTAAATTCTACTACTACTTCATTGTGGTACCACAATTTGTATCGAATATTAAATTAATTCTTTAGTATGAAAATCGAATTTGAAATTTTTGTATCATGACAACACTACTACATACCTCCAAATTCCAAATATTTTACATAAATATCCTTGGGATTCAGGATAATTAAAAAAAATGCTATGCATTGCTATAGTAATGAACAGTTCAAAACAAAATATTATATCTGAATGTTAAAAAGTCCTCAAAATACCACCTATAAGCAGATAGTGTAGCCAATGAATACATTACAGTACATAGATTTCAATGAGTGCAAAGAAATGAAATGAGGTTTATTATAATGACCAGTGCACAAAATTCAAACTATAGCTGTTGTTTGGTAGTTTGTTCCGAGCATATAACAAGAAAACAACATTGTTGCTGGTAAGTGAAGAGTATTATTTCTATGGGAAAAATACAAAAGACTTCTCTTGCTGTCATAGCATTGCTCAGCCCATCACAACTCTCGTTTCACTATAATTAATAATCCCTCTCATCTCCTCATATTGTGTGAGCTGATGGGGTCAGACAATCCAGGCCACTTTTCCTTGCTCATCTCCATGGCAACACCACAGTCACAGCTTTACATATGGAGAGAGTTGAAATAATTAAAGAAAGACAAAAGTTTTCAAATCTCCTTAGGGTTAGGAGGTGAGCTGTCCCAGTGTAAGAATACATAATTTTAAATATATTTTAGCACTAAAACACCTCTATATGAATAAGTGTCAGATATGTAAGGTAAGGTAGTGTACGCTTTACTTGTCCCCTACGGACATTGGTCCTCTGCATTTGACCCATCCTTAATGCTGCAGTGCAGGGAGCTATCAGAGGATCTGACGTATTATTCACACTTTGGGTTGATAGGGAAACTGGAGAGCTCAAAGGAAACCAACCAAGACACAGGGAGAACATACAAAATCAGTACAGAAAGGCCTGGACATCATGGGAGTGGAACCCAGAACCTTCTTGTAGTGAGGTGAGACTGCTAGCTGCTAGCAGTGTTAAATGTTTAATTAGGAACATTCTAGACAAAGCAATAATATTTCCTTGGAGACAAGCAGGAGGCAGACCCTTTACCAGAAAAGTTACATAGTGCAACTTTAATTAGCATGACTGTAAACTGAGCTGTAGAAATAATGAAATATGAAACCTCCACTACTAAGTGAACAATAATTTAAAATTCTATAAATATTAAACAATGGCATTAAATTTTCACAGTTCAATTTATACCTTTGATCCCACTTGACTTGTCCTTTTTCAGGTCGAGGAGATCTCATCCCACTTTATCCTGTGTGAGGAGGGCTGCACCATCATTCACAAAGGAACCACTAACAGACATACAACCGATCACAAACAATTTCACGGCCCATCAAATTCAAATGTCCTGGCTCTGCAGAAAAAGAGATTGCACCTCGGAGTAGGAAACTACCACAAGAGACTGAGATAAAATGCACTGATACTGAATACAATATATTATGTATTGTTGTTCATGTTGGCGATCAATCAAGTTAGACAGTTGTCCATTTATTAGAAACTGGTATCCCATTATAAAAGGTATATTGATGAATGTTGAACCTGATCATTCTAATAGTGACTAGGCCCAAGAACTTGCTGCATTACCACAAAAATCAGCATTTTATGTAGTATCAGTAGTACTGACACTACATTTTATCAGTATATAAATTTAAGTTGCTACCATCTGTTTGAAATATTATTGGAAACCCAGTAATAGTATCATTGTAATAAGGAAATAGGATGCTTGTTAAAGTTACCATCAATCAGTACACACACACACATATATATATATATATATATATATATATATATATATATATATATATATATATATATATATATATATATATATATATATATATATATATATATACCAGGGGCTCAAGGAAGAGCTGGAGAGAGCCTGGAAAGTAAAGGCATCAGTGGTGCCTGTGGTGATCGGAGCACTCGGGGCTGTAACCCCAAACTGGAAGAGTGGCTACAACAGATACCGGGAAAACAACGGACATCTCAGTCCAGAAAAGTGCAGTACTGGGAACAGCAAAGATACTGCGCAGAACTCTCAAGCTCCCAGGCCTCTGGTAGAGGACCCGAGCTCATGAGGGTGAGAGAGACCTACCACCGTGGAAGGTGAGAAACACATTTTTATTTATATATATATATATATATATATATATATATATATATATATATATATATATATATATATATATATATATATATATAAAGAGACAGTTACAAGTACCTTGGTATCCCACAAGCAAATGGCAACCTTGAAGAGGCAACAAGGAAAGCGGCTATGGCCAAATACCTGCAAAGAGTGAGGCAAGTCCTTAGAAGCCAGCTCAATGGCAAGAACAAGGTGCAGGCAATCAACAGCTACGCCCTGCCAGTGATCAGATACCCTGCAGGGATTGTAAGCTGGCCAAAGGAGGAGATACAGACCACAGATGTTAAGACACGAAAGCTCCTGACCATGCATGGAGGGTTCCATCCCAAATCCAGCACCCTGAGACTGTACGCAGGCCGGAAGGAAGGGGGCCGAGGACTAGTGAGTGTGGGAACCACTGTCCAGGATGAAACATCCAAGCTCCTTGAGTACATCAAGGACAAGGCCCCGGCAGATGAGGTGCTCAGAGAATGTCTCAGACAGTGGGGTCCAGAGGAAGAGGTGCTGGAGGGACCATCATGGCAGGACAAACCCCTACATGGGGCGTACCACCGGAACATAACTGAAGTGGCTGATATCAAGAAATCCTACCAATGGCTTGAGAGGGCTGGTCTGAAGGACAGCACAGAGGCACTGATCCTGGCTGCTCAGGAGCAGGCCCTGGGCACTCGAGCAATAGAGGCCCAGATCTACCACACCAGACAAGACCCACGGTGTAGACTGTGCAAAGAGGCTCCTGAGACAGTCCAGCACATAACTGCAGGGTGTAAGATGCTGGCAGGGAAAGCATACATGGAGCGACATAACCAAGTTGCGGGCATAGTGTACAGAAACATCTGTGCAGAGTTTGGGCTGGAGACCCCAGGATCAAGGTGGGAAACACCTCCAAAGGTTGTGGAGAACAACCAAGCCAAGATCCTGTGGGACTTCCAGATACAGACTGACAGAATGGTGATGGCGAATCAACCAGACATAGTGGTGGTGGATAAGAAACAGAGCAGAGCCGTGGTGGTGGACATCGCAATACCAAGCGATGGTAATATCAGGAAAAAGGAACACGAGAAGCTAGAGAAATACCAGGGGCTCAAGGAAGAGCTGGAGAGAGCCTGGAAAGTAAAGGCATCAGTGGTGCCTGTGGTGATCGGAGCACTCGGGGCTGTAACCCCCAAACTGGAAAGAGTGGCTACAACAGATACCGGGAAAAACAATGGACATCTCAGTCCAGAAAAGTGCAGTACTGGGGAACAGCAAAGATACTGCGCAGAACTCTCAAGCTCCCAGGCCTCTGGTAGAGGACCCGAGCTGAATGAGGGTGAGAGAGACCTACCACCGTGGAAGGTGAGAAACACATTTTATATATATATATGTATATATATATAATATATATATATATATATATATATATATATATATATATATATATATATATATATATATATATATATATATATAATATATATATATATATATATATATATATATATATATATATATATATATATATATATATATATATATATATATATATATATATATATATATATATATATATATATATATATATATATATATATATATATATATATATATATATATACACACACACACACACACACACACATATACATATACACACACGCACGCACACACACAGGTGTCTCCCAGAAGATAATAAGACAATGTACAAGAGGCATCATTGTGGAAAAAATATTTCTCAGCTTTTATTTACATTTGAACAAAAAGTGGCATGTCCAAAATTATTCATACCCTTTGTAAACTGTCAAAGTCTATGGAAAAATCCAAAGTTCTATACCATTCCAAACATTCTAAAACTTCCTAATTACCCTGATTCATTGGGAAGAGCTGTTTTAAGCAATTCAATAGGTGAATATATATATATATATATGTATATATATATATATATATATATATATATATATATATATATATATATTATTATATATTTTTTTTAAATGTATATATATGTTTTTGTGTGATCAGCAAAGCCTTAGGTCTAACGCCATAGATCCAATATTATCAACTACACTGCCATAACAACCGTGTCAGCTGCATTTTGTAATAATGTTGTCCATAAAAGACCAGAGTGAGGTGGTGGTGTGACCCTCACCCCTCATAATGGTGGTTGCTGTACTGGACATTGATGATAAAACCATAATGGATTCTGCTCCATCAGCAGCATGCCTTTGCTTTCAACAGGGATCTGACCAGAGACACTTCCAATAATCCATTCAACACATTAGAGGAAGCACTGAAAGGGACGTGCCAAGATGTGGTTCTGCACATTCACAGGCAAAATATGTGAGTTCAGAGAGATGGAGGATTGATCATTTCATGGTTCACATATAGTCTGGTAATAATTA